TTAACATGCGGATCGCCTTTATACACAAAATGCCTGAAGTCGTGGCTTAATATTTACGTACCTCGGTTGATGTACAGGATTATCTTCAATTGGCGGAATTTTTATTGTAGTTCGGTTTCTTCGCGCAAAACAACAACACGTACCGCCGGGAAACAAAACCTGCAACCGGCGAAAACCGAGCAACGTTCTTTAACATCCACGCTACCACCTGGAGCACCGAGCTGCTCACCTGACACCTTCTGACTGTAATAAAATGAAAAATACTTACAGCAACAAAGAGGAAACTCTCTTCCTGTTGTGTTTGCCCACCGACAGTCATGTGACGACTTTATGTGACGTAAACAGCGAGCGTTGGACCCGGAGCGCCCTCTGGCGGCCAACAGGTTATTCTGCATATTGAATGTGAAGAGCCCAAAATTCAGCTCATTGCAAACGTTATGGTTTTATTTGGGAAATGTTTTATTCAAAAATGTCGTTCTTACAGAACACTGTAGAAGCCCATTTCCGCCGATGTAAGGTAAAACATTATTCTGCCAGTCATTATAAGGAGAAACCTTCTCAAAATAATGACTTAGTATGACAAAGTCACGATTTTTGGATAATATCTCAAAATATTGAGAAACTCATTATTTTGAGATTATTTTGAGACACACAATAGAATATACTTATATATATAGTTTACTCTTTTTATATATTAAATCTTTCAAATTAAAAGCACAAAAAAAGGATAGATTAAATGTTATAATTTCCCATTTAAAAACACAACAACCTGATTTTGTTGTATTTATTTTCTGATTTCTGCATTTGTTCCTTTTTTGTTTAATTATATTTACACATACTTACACTGTATGGCAAATATGTTTATTTATTTTTCTGTTGGTTTTGTTTACAAAAAAGCCCTCTGTGCAGGGGCCTGCTGTTTCTGTGCCTAATGTAGGCTACCTTTCTGCTGTAACAGCTTTGTGAACAGGATTTGTTGAGAGGATAAATATGTGAATGTAACAACTCCTGTAAATCTAGAGGGATGGTATTGGATCAGCTGCTGAATTTAGATTCATTTGAAAATATTGTGTATACCACATATAGCCTGGTTAAATGATCTGTTATGGCCACATAGCCAATGTGCCACAGTAATGTCTTTGAGTTCTGATACCTTCATTTGGGGGTTTTCCAAACAAATATTGATATATGTGATTGTTTGTGATTAAATCAGCAGATATTCCTTAAAGTCTCCATGGCCAATATTTCTCTAGATCTATAGGCCTATTCCTATGTCCTATCTTTGACTTTTTGACCGTTGTAGTGTTGTTAAATATAACATTAAAAAAAAAGTGAATGGGAAAATGTTAAATAATATAAATATAAAGTCAACTACAAACAGTGTAAACAGTTTAAACAGTCCAACATATGGTGCTTCACAAAACCTTTAGAAATACAAAGTGCTTTATAGCAGATTTAAAACCTAAAGCAGAAACAAAAGCAAAAACTATGACAGAACTATTCACAGAACACAACGACTAAAGTAAATATAAACATGTGGTATCTCTCAATATCAATAATAATCATTTACAAAACATATTTCAGATCAGAAAATATAAAACAAAGCAGAGGCGTCATAGGGTTGCTATGGTAACGGTAAACAACAGAGTGCAGGTAGAGCTCAGCTGCTCTGAGTACGGTTACCTTGGCAACAGGTAAACAAGGAGCTCAGAGACAGAAGAGAAAATGTCAGCGAGGAGGAAAGGAAGAGCAGAGGAGGAGAACCAGGAGGTTTTCTCAGAGGAGGAGAGGAGGAGTGTTGAGGAGGAGGACTTTGAGGAGGCGATGAGGGAGGCTGCCTCCTCCACCGCTTCCAGGAAAAAACCTGTACCACCCGAACAAAAAATCCCCCCCAATATCCCGGAGGCAGTGGACGACTTCCTGAGGAACTCCCTCCGGAGAGCCGGCCTGAGCCGCACTCTGAACAGCTTTGAGGCTGAGTGGTACGGCTCAGCTCAGAAACTCCTCACAGAAACTCTGATGATGCCAACGACGGGCATCTTCTTCATCCCCGACGCCCTCACACACAGACAGCTCCTCCAGAGTGAGCTGGAGACGGTCCGCAGAGAGACGGACCGGCTCAGACAGGAGGTGCTGGTGGCAGGGGAGAGCCTGGTGAGGATGCAGAGGGAGAGGGACTTCCACCGGCTGCAGTACCGACGAGTCGCGGAGGACAAACACAGGCTGATCGCAGACTTCCAACAGCTGAAGAAACACCTGGAGTCCTACGAGCCGGTGCTGAGGCAGCTGGACGACAAGTATCAAGCAGCTCTGAGGCAGAAAATGCTCATCAGTCTAAAAAAGGACCGGCTTCAGAACACTGCGGACGCAAGACTGAATCAGGAAAAACCCCAAATGAAGAAAGAGAGAAGCATCAACCGGATCCACAGCGCTGAGAACCCACCAGCAACCAGCACCTCCACCAGGAGGGAGAAGGACTCAGAGTTTCCCCTCTGCAGCCGGCTGCTGAATCCTCTGCTGGATCAGGTGACTTCTGAAAAATGGAAAAGCCCCAGTTCCTTCAGCTTGTCCTGCTCCATCAGGGCCCACGAGCTTCCCATCAGCTGCATCGACCTCCATCCACGGAAACGGATCCTCGCCTCCGCCAGTGACGACCGCAGCTGGAAGCTGTGGGCGCTGCCGGCCGGCGGAGAGAAGGTAAGAGAAAGGTGCTTGTGTGTTCAAATCCATGAGAAACATGATGAGATTAACTGACATGAGATAGGATCACATATGGAGTGAACTCTGACATGGGTTTTAGTATTCCTTATGAGATAAAGTAAACTGAGAAGTTGAGACATATGAAAGGAGATATAAGATAAGACTAAATCAGAGAGAGACTAGAGATTAGACACGGTGCTATCACATTGCAGGCAAGAATACAATTAAATAAAATGTGATGAGATTAAATCAATTGAGAGACTATGAGATCAGTTAGCAGATGAGACAAATGAGATGAGATACTAACGTTAAGATATGAATGAAAGACACAGGGAGATAAATAATACCCAATAAAGGGCGAGGGAATAGATTTAGCATTATATGAAATGAGATGAGAGAAGATGAAAATAGTTATGAGATGATACAGAATGACACATCTCAGCCAAAATGAGATGAGACTGAGATAACTGTGATAATGCAGGATGACACTGTACAGCTGACATCATTTAATGTGTGTTGCCAGGTTGGTGAGCTGGTGCTGACAGGTGAGGGTCACTCTGATTGGCTGTCTGGCTGCAGTTTTCACCCCAATGGAGCAAAATTGGCAACAACCAGCGGAGACACTATGGTGAGTCCATCCTCATTAAAGGTCCAGTGTGGAACATTGAGGAGGATCTATTGGCAGAAATGGAATATAATATTCCTAGGTATGTTTTCATTAGTGTATAATCACCTGAATATAAGAGTCATTGTGTTTTTGTTGCATTAGAATGAGACCTTTTTATCTACAGAGGGAGCGGGTCCTCTACTGGCGGAGTCCGCCATGATGAAGCCCCATGTTTCTACAGTAGCACAGAACGGACAAACCAAACACTGACTGTAGAAAGAGTCTTTCGTGTTTTTCATGAGTTTCGGGCCACCATAGGCCACTACTCACTTGGAAGGCTGAGCTGTATTGCAGTCTGCAACTTCACCACTGATGCCATTAAATCCTACACACTGGTCCTTTAAAGTAAAAGCCAACATGGTGAGGTTTCTGCTCCCCTGTTCTCCTGATCTTCTTGACCTGTGGTTAACTCTCGGGTCGCTCTTTGTGCAGGTGCGGCTCTGGGATTTCTCTCGTGGCTGCTGCGTGTTGACGCTGTCTGGTCACAGCCAACCCACCTGGGGCTGCGCCTTCCACTGGTGCGGCCACTTTCTGGCTTCCTGCTCTGCCGACAGAACCGCCAAGCTGTGGGACCTGAACAGCCAGCGCTGCCGCCTCACACTCCGTCGCCACACCGCCTCTGTCAACAGTGTCCACTTCCTGCCCTTCTCCAACCTCCTCCTCACCTGCTCGGCTGACAAAACCCTCGCCATGTGGGACGCGAGGCTGGGTGTCTGCACCGCTACCTTCCATGGACACCAGCACCCCTGCAACCACGCCATTTCCAGCCTGGCCGGCGATGTCGTGGCCTCATGTGACTCCTGTGGTGTCATCAACCTGTGGGATGTCAGAAAGCCTGCGTTGGCAATGGCCACGGTAGATGCTGGGCCGCTGGCTGCCAACCAGGTAGCGTTCAGCCCATCGGGGAAGACGCTAGCTGTTGCCAGCAGCGACGGTCTTGTCAGACTGGTGGAGGTGGATTCCTGCGTGGTGAGCAGCCTCTCGGGACACAGCGATGGCGTGCAGAGCGTGACATTCGACCACGAGGGGGAGACTGTGGTGTCAGCGGGGAGTGACGGAGTGATTAACATCTGGGCCTGACGTAATGTGGATGAAAATCAGGTGAAACCAGCTGATGGTGTCTGAGATGACCATCAGATTGTCCTGTGGTCAACATGATTTTTAACATTTTGTTTTTTTGTAGTAATGTGAAAATAAATCTTTTCTGATAGCCTAATGAAAACATTTTCTAAAAAAATCTAAATAAGGTTAACTTTTAATGTACAGTCTATAATTATCATAATTTAAATAAAGAACTTCGGTCTCTACATCACACTGTACAAGTTGCATACTGGACCAGAACTGACTTCCAAACTATTTGTGATGTCACAAATCCTGCAGTTAGGCCCCGCCCCTTAAAAATCTGCTTTTCAGTGAGCACAGAGAAACTTTCCACTTTCAGCAGATGAATGTGAAAATATCCTTCTACTGTCACACTCTGCACAAACAGCATTCAAACAGCACACTGTAGGGACAGGGAGAAACTCTGATTTCTGACTGGAGAGGAGCTTTAAGGGAAGTTGTTAAAGAGGTTCAACTCCTGTTAATGTCCAAATTATCCTTGATAGAATTAAAAAATAAGCTGACACCATGCTGGTTGTAAACTTATTTTGTTTTAATACATCCCAGCTCAGAGCAGCTGGGGACGAACCTGTTACAAGGAAATAAAAAAAACATTAAAAAAATCAATCTGTAACAAAACAAATATCTTTTCATATTTAGCCGTCACCTGTCTGCCTGACCGCTGATTTGACAATTTAATGGTTCCAAATGTAAAGCCGGAGAGAAAACACTGACAGTCTGTCTTCATCAGCTGAGAGACAAAGAACACCAATGCATCAATAATCTGATTTCCTGTCCAAATCACACTGAGTAAAGTTCATAAAGATAAATAAAGATAAAGAGGGAACAAAACTAAAAGTTTAACTTAAGACAGTAAAACAGTGAGGGTTACAAACACTGCACGTTGCATACCGCACTGTATCCATTAGATTTAAGGTTAATGACCTTGAATGAAAGCCTTTAGCTGACATGAGGCGTCCATGTTTGTTTTTTCAGGCACTTCTGTATTATTACACTCTAAGTTAGACATATTTAAAGACATTTTAGGACATCTCAGTCTCTGGACTTTGTCAGCCTCAGTTAGAGCTTTGCTTTCAGCTCAATGCTTAGTGGTAATTTGCTAATTGTACCACGTTAGCATGCCAGTACAATGCCTTTGTGTTTTTGTACAAATACCAAAACTCTCTATACCTTAGTTTGGGAAATAAAAATATTATATAACATTCTTTTTCATTCAATAAAATGTGATCAGTAATTAGTATTAAATAGTGGTGTCTAAATACATTACAGTGCATAGTTACAAAACAACCTCCTTGTTGAGGTTTAGCATGTGACATTTAACATGTAAGACTTGGAATATGCATTATAATAAGGAAATTGGCATGTTAGAATGCTAATGTTAGAATAGCAATGTGGCTACAGTTAGCATATTAACATCCATACTGACAATAACTGGATGCTAACATGCTGAGGTTTAGCATGTAACATTTACAGTTGACCTGTTAACATTAGTATTTAAAATGGTCAAGTTAGCATGTTTCCATCCATTATTTAATGTGTAAAGCTACCATTATAACACTGTCATCTCCAGGGTCTTGCTGCCAGCCTGGCTACAAATACAAATATGTATCATGAAAAAGATCATTTTCAGTGCAGTAACAAACAACTCATTCATATTGGCACATTCACACATCTATTTGACAATATTGGAGTGTGCTGTAAGACGATGATACGTTTCTCAGTTTGAGTCGGATTGTCCCGAACATTGCTGTGACACAACAGAGCTTCATTCTCATCTGGAATTTAAAGGGCAACATAGACATTAAGAGAAATCCAGGGGAAACTGCTAGCCTAGCTCAGTCAAAAATCCACCTTCAAGGCATCAAGGCAACTCCATGCTGCATATTTTTCATTGAACCAGTCCCTCGCTCTGATAAACGGGTCTGTAGCCTCAGGAGGGTTTCTGCTGAGTGCAAATGAGCCCGTCAGCAGATGAGGAGGAGTAGCGTCCTTCATCTTCGTCCTTCTCCTCTTTGTGTTTCTCTCTGGGTTCTTCCACCAGCACCTTCAGACGGCTCAGATGATGCAGAGCTCTGAGGATAGAAATATTCAAGTATTTCTCTCTACAAGGTTGTTTTGAGACATTTTAAACTAAATGGGGTGTCCTTTTAAATTAAACAATGCAACCTTTTCAAAGGAGTTTCTAAACAGAAAAACTTATTAATAAACCTTTCGTACAGCAGCCATTTTAACATGAAATAGTAGAACAATGATACTAATTAAGGTTCTGTTCCTAAATGGAATGGAATCTTACTGACTAAATGTCATGAAATGATTTGTCTTTTTAACACAATTAATTAAAGTATTTTCGACAATTTAAACCAAATGGTAGGAATAGTTTTATTTGAAACGTTTTGGCATTCTTTTCTATTTTTAGTCGACTAAACAAACCACCAAACTGGGTGATGCCATGTGACATATTGACAGTTTTGTCAGTCATGTGGCATCACCCAGAGGCTAACGTTAATGAAGAGGAGCACTGAACTCTAGTCTACAGTCATGCTAGCGACTGTGTGAGGCTGTATTAATGTTAATGTTTGTACTAAATTTCATGGCAATCCACCCAATGGTTGTTGAGACATTTCAGTCCAGACCAGTCAGTGGACAAACGCTGCTAGCATGGCAATGTCTCAGAAAAGGATTTGTGACCAGATTCTGGTAATATCATCAAGTTTCTACAGTGCCGTTTTACTCTACAGTCACTCTGATGTTAATCCTGCTGTGAGAAGTCAGCTGTGTGGTTACCTCTGAAGTGATGGTCCACCAGGAAAACTCTCCAGCTCTGCTTCACCTTCAGGCCTCTGCAACACAAACACAACTCCATATAACCTGATTCAATACATACAAAACATGTAACAACTGACCCTTGCAAAGTCTCGCCCCTTTTTGCTCTGTGTTCCAGTAACAGTTAGGCAAACCTCGCTCAACTTCCTTCTTTCCTGTACTAGATAATGCTATGTGCTAGGCTAATCTATGTTGAAAAGACAAGCATATGTATATCTATCTATCCATCCATCCATCCATCTCTATATCCATCTCTATATCTATAGATAGATATCTATATCTCTCTCTCTATATCTCTCTCTCTCTATATATCTATCTATAGTCCCATCTTATATTATTGTTAGCTACCTAACGACTAGTTAGCTAGTGTTTTGCTATCTATTAATGCAGATGAGCTAGCCAGTCAGCTAGTGTTTTGCTGTGTATCAAAACGCCAGTTTTCTAACTAACTAGCTACTAATTGATGTAGCTTAGCTCTCTTGTTAGCTAGCATTTGACTAACATTAGCTAGGTAACTTAGGATGTGACTGTATAGAAGTTGCTCTTTTTTTCTTATTCAAAATGTAGTTGTCTTTTCGATATAGATTAGCCTATCACATGGCATATCTGAGTACAGGAAAAGAGGAAGTTGACTGAGGTTCTGACCGAGGCTTGCTCAACAGTTATTGGAGCACAGAGCAAAAGGGGGCGGGACTTAGGACGGGTTAATACAGAGTCCTGTGGTGTATCCAGGAGTGCTATATGAATGATGAATAGAGGAAATAAACCCGATTCAGCGTTTCTTTAATCTCAAACACGAGCTATATTTTTTCCCATTAACAGAGAAACATGCTTCCTGTTCAGGCTGGCAACCTGCAGTGTGAGTGTTCGTACCGGCTTCGCTGGAGTCTCCTCTGCCTGTGTCCTGTCAGTGAGCATAGGAGCGACTGATGCCTGTTGTTGTCGCTGAAGCTCTGCTTCCACTGCCTGCAGTCTGAACAACATCTGCTTCAGAGCCTCCACTGGACCAGGCTGCTTGAATATGCTGTTTCCGTGAAGACAGCACCCTAGAGCCTGGGATAGACAGCAGACAAAAAGGAGCGCTGTGATCCTGGATCTGTCAGAGGATCCTTTAGGTTTCAGTGTGCCATAGGACTGGTTTGACAGTACGGCGCAGACTGACTGTTGTGTCGGCAGCCCCTCAATTAACAGTGAAGGTACTGCAGTGAATCAGTGAAAGGTAAGGGGTGAAACAAGACAGACTTAGGTCTACCTGAGCTCCGCTGTCAGTCAGAGCCTCTGCGACGCCCCCCGCTGCTGCTGCTGCTGCTGCTGCTGACTCCCTGCAGGTTCAGCATACAATCACATATCATTCAGTGTGTTTAGTCACAGTGCATCAGAGCTTACGAGTGTAAATAAGTCTTACAGAGTGACTGGATGACAGTGTGAGGAAGAACGGAGCAGCAGCTCCTCTGTGTTCAGTGGACTGTCAGCTTCTTTAACACAATCAGGAGGACTGACTACAACAACAACAGTTACACAAGAGATAAACATCAGGACATCATTAATGATATTTGTCAATAATGAAACTTTAATTTTGTCAAGCAACTGTATCTGCCACTATCTGAGCTGAGTTTGTGGTTGTTTGAAACTAACTGTGTCTGTTATGTCAGTGAGCTAACATAAGCTTTGCTGCTTACAACAGTAGGAGGAGAACCCTTGTGTGAGTCCTGGGCTCACCTGAATCTGCCAGACTTCCTGCTCCTCCAGAACTCTGAGACAGAGAGTTCAACACCTGATCTGCCTTTTGGATTAGAGACTCAAGCCTGTTGTCTGACAGGAGGAAAACATATTTAGGGCTCAATAACGCGCATATGATGTAGTTTTTACATCAACAGTTTTTTTTACCTCTGAAGAGAGTTTCCATGATGTCGGAGCTTTTTTTCTCTGCAGCGAGTAGAGAAATCTGTTCAGCGAACTGGAGCCGCAGCTCTCTGAGAGTCTGCTGGCTGTCAACCTGATAAGACAGACAGACAAACAGACAGACACACAAATAATTGGGCATGGAAGTTCATTCTTGACTTTGGGACATTTGGATGTGACAAAATAATCTCTAATCAAAGCTCCTCTTTCTAGCTTTTTCAGAGTATTTGAGTGATCAAACTGAAAATTCCAAAGAAGTTTGATTCTCTCACCTGTGCAGGCATTTGGTCGCCATCATCATCTTCCAGCTCTGCTACCCAGGACGGAGCTCCGGGTCTGAGAGCTGCAGGTGGAAGAACACCCAGAAGAGAAACATATTACCTCACTAAAAAACATAATGCTTATTAGACTCTTATCACTGTAAAATTATTATTATGGTGTGTTAGGAAAACACAACACTGCAGAGTGTGGTCGACTGATATGGGTTTGTCAATGGCAGATGGCGTGATTTTACAAACTATAAGACTTTGGGCCTAAACAGTGCAGGAGCCATTTGATCCAGCTAACTGTCAATAAGCTGTACTTCTGCAGGCTTTCTTGTTGCTCTGACAACAGTTCCAAATAGGAATGCACAGTAGGTATTAGGCTGGTAAACTATCGGCAGATAAGGGGAAATGTATTGTTATGAATTACCCCGATAATTAAATTATTAGTCCATAATAATCATAATGAATTTAGATTTTTTATGCAAAACGATTGGTAGACTTTATGTTCTATGAAAGCCAAAGTACTTAAATAAATGAATAAAAGAACATCTGAAGAGTCAGAACTGTTGTTGTTGTTGACAATAGTGATGTCAGTTAGACTGGGTTAGATCAAAGCTATGGAATATTAAATCTTCCATCTTTGCTCACTACATCTCAGACTTTCTTACCCTCAGGTTATGAACTGAAATGATCAATATCTTATCAGTGTCAGCCATGAGAAGCAGGTAATTAACATATCGGCGGAAAAAAGATCCATATCATGTATTGCTAGTTCCAAATTAATTTTAAAACAGCTTTGAAGAACCCAAAACTCCAGACTTATGTCAAACTGTCAAACATTCTGATCTGGATTAACCTGGTTCATAGATCGGGGTCCAGAGCCAGCTTCCGCACAGTGGGGAAATACCACAGGGCTTTTTAATGTGACCTGTAACCTGCAAACTTATGTTAGAGCAGATAAACACACTTTGTCTTTCCAAAACCCCAAATTTTATGAAAGAATCAACAGACACGTCAGTCCCGTGCACGCCAGTTCAACTTGTGGAGAAATCCAAATCTTGTCAGGCCGGCTGTGCCTGGTAACGGTTGCTAAGCTATGGACAAATCACAGCACGGGGGAGGGGTGGGGTTAACGGTCAGTTGGAAGAAGACATCTGCTAAGGCTGTTAATGCATTAGTCCGGATTAAATACAGTTTTAGGGTTTCATGATAGTCTTCATACTTTCAGAGGCATTAGTCCGGATTAAATACAGTTTTAGGGTTTCATGATAGTCTTCATACTTTCAGAGGCTTTTCCACAGTGACAATGAAACTCTGATGCAATCAACAATATTTGTTTGGCAATAAAAACATTACATTTAAGCCCAAATGACTTTCTCAGTGAGTCAGTGACTCTATTCTGAAACATCTGCACCCTTTTTTGTTTTGAAACTACTTGTGATTCTATAGCGCCATGTGGGTTCGGTAACATGGAACGATATGCAATATGTGTTATGATGCCATGTTGTACCGTGGTCATCCCACAGCTCTGACTCTGCGGGTGGTGGCGGCTCGCTGAGGTCACAGCGCTGGATCCAGGCTGGGTACTTTATGTCCGGCACACTGGTGATTCCAGAACAGTCCATGTCAGTCTTGTTGCTGGTGAACCAGTGAGGGAGGTGGAGCGACAAAGACGGCTCCTCGCACTCTGACCTCGCTGCTCGGTGTGCAGATTGCTGGAGACAGAGAGAGAGAGAGAGAGAGAGAGAGAGAGAGAGAGAGAGAGAGAGAGAGAGAGAGAGAGAGAGAGAGAGAGAACACTGAGGTTCACTACAGCAGCAGTGAAGGAAAAAAGGACGTTTTCAGGCTGGATGGAAAACTGTAAAACAGATCGAAAGGTTGTAATGCTTTCAGTTTGTGTCTTTTTTGGCTGATTATTTTATCCATAAAAATCACTGCCATAACCCCACGCAGTACCTAAAAAATGCTTTCCAGGACATTTTCCAGGAGTTTTTCTTGACAATACACTGTTCTCCAAACAGCCCATTTTTTTCCATTTTCAGAATGAAAACATTAATTTGGCCACAGCACAGGCTAAAATACATTTTACATTTTCCAGGACAACACAGATTATTTCCAGGATATTTGGTCATTTCCATCAATTTCCAGGCATTTCCATGACTGGAAAACTAGTCTCTAAATTTCCCAGAAGCGTGGGAACCCTGAACATGTGTTGATTACTTACATTAAAACAACTATTGTCTGTATTAAGTTTCCTGAAATGTTTTGTGTAAATATATAAAGAGTAATTTTCTTATTAAAATGCGCAGATGTGCATACATTTCCATTACACAAATCTGAACATTGGATAAAGCCAAGTTCAAAATGATTTTATTTTGCCGACATTAGAATCAAAGGTTTTTACAGAGGGAATTTGGGATCTTTTTTTTTTTTTTTTTTTAAAGCACTCCATAATCTGAAAATACTGTCAACAGCCATAAAAAATACATCAGGCTGTGAATGATATATGTAAAAACCTTCAGAATACAGACAGGAATAAAACTGAAGCTCTGCTGAATAACAAGGCAAGTAGCAGCTTTTAAAGATATGCTTTATAAAATGCATACATTTTGCAAGACACTACTAAACTGATGGCAGTTCATAAAGATTCCTTCATTTACAGATAACGACTAGAGGAAAAATATTAACTAAACTGAAAGCTGTAGTTGTAGTTACAGCTGCGGATTTCTCACAGCTAGCTTTTACTTGATAGCGCACTCATTGGCTGTCTATTTAGCTGCATTTCTATGGCACAGAGCACACACATTACTGAGCCAGCAGCAGTACATAGCCAGAATACAGTCACTACACAGCCAGAGAGCAGATACCACATGCAAAAACAGTGTCCCAGACAGAGCATGTGAGCGGAACGGGTGAAAATTTCCACTCCTCGCTCACAGACCTGTCCATTTGTGCCGCTCGTCAGCTCCGCCTGGTTCTGCGCATTCTCCGCTCCACTCCATCATAAATTTTAGCCCGCTCCACCCGCTCACCACTCCGCTCAAAAAAAAAAAAACCAGTGAGTTCCTGTAGTAGACTGCAGTGTTTCCGAGAAATGTGTCCTTTTAGATTCCAAAACGACTCTTTACCGACTGCAACAATGTCGCCGCATTCTTTTTCTTGTTCCACATTATCCCCATCTGTTACTTTTACAGGAATAGTACACTTGTACGACTTATCAGTTTCTTTTCTAAAGTACACATTAAACTCCATAGTTTTGAAAGAAAATAGTGTGGGTGTGCGCGCAGGTGCAAAGATGCATTCTGGGTGGGGCATGAGCAACCGGAGCGAAATTGGAGCGAGAGATAAGGCTCCGCTTCACCTTTAAAAAAAATTGTCGCTCCGCTCATATGCTCTGATCCCAGACCTTGAAGACAAAATATGAATGATACTCACCCTGTAGCAGCTGGCAACATCTGGTTTCAACATGGCTCCCCCTGGTCGTCCTCTGCACCTGGAGAGGAGGAGAAGGTAATGACATGTAAAATGTGATGTAGGCCTTTAACAGAACAGAAAACTTCCAGAAACATCGCAAAGTGCAAGCAGCATGAACCTGGAGCTCCTGGGCGTCCTGGCTGGATGAGGGTGGTTCTGGTGGCTGAGTTGGGGGGCAGGGTAGCTGCTGCTGAGTCTGTCCCAGGTTCTATGTGCTGGTCTGGAGAAGGAGGGGCAAGGCTGGGAAGCTCCAGACTGGGACAAGAGCCCTGGATCGGCAGAAGACATGATTATTGATTAATCTATCAATTATTTATTTTATCAGTCCATTCATCATTTAACCAAACACACATTTTTGAAATACATCATCTCAAAGGGATGCATTTGAAGACCTGGGATAATGGTGGAGGTGGGAGTGATGTGTTTAAAGACCTGGGATAATGGTGGAGGTGGGAGTGATGTGTTTAAAGACCTGGGATAATGGTGGAGGTGGGAGTGATGTGTTTAAAGACCTGGGATAATGGTGGAGGTGGGAGTGATGTGTTTAAAGACCTGGGATAATGGTGGAGGTGATGTGTTTAAAGACCTGGGATAATGGTGGAGGTGATGTGTTTAAAGACCTGGGATAATGGTGGAGGTGATGTGTTTAAAGACCTGGGATAATGGTGGAGGTGATGTGTTTAAAGACCTGGGATAATGGTGGAGGCGATGTGTTTAAAGACCTGGGCTGAAGGTGGGAGTGATGTGTTTAAAGACCTGGGCTGAAGGTGGGAGTGATGTGTTTAAAGACCTGGGATGAAGGTGGAGGTGAGAGTGATGCGTTTAAAGACCTTGCATGAAGGCTGACGTGTGGGTGACAGGCATTGAGCCATCGTAAGGGATAGACAGCAGCTCATCTGTTGTCATGGAGAGTCTGTCTCGGTTGCCAATGTGATGGAGGGAGCTGACAGGGAGGTTCAGGAAGTCCAGCTCCCTGTCCGTCAAACGCTCCCTGAGAACTAGGGTAGCAACAGAAAAACAAAAAACAAAAACAAAACAGTGGTTTAGTCATACTTTTTTTTTTTTTAAAGCCCTCAGATCTGCAGTAATACCAGATCCTACCATATAGATATGACTGAATACATGTCGTTTTCAGTAACAGCACCTCCATCTGGTGACCTACCATCTTTGTTTCTGAGTGTGCTCGCTCTGGGCCTGCTTGGTGTGGTGGGCGGACTGCACGGCAGAACCAGTGTTCCTGTCAACGATTTGCTGTTCCGAGGACTTCTCTCAAAGTCTGCAATGTAGGCATCCAGCGCTGCCGAGGCTGAGCCATAGTTCTGCAATCAATCAATTACTTATTATCAATAAATCAATTTCTTCCTCAAAAACAAAATGCAAAGCTTCCATCTAAAATCTGCCGTTTAAATTCTGAAGAGCTGGGTGCCCGGTTAGCTCAGTCGGTGGAGCTGGCGACCCATGTACGGAGTTGCTGCAGCGGCCCAGGTTCAAAACCGACCTGTGGCCCTTTGCTGCATGTCATCCCCCCTCTCTCTGCCCCCCTTTGCTGTCTATCTTCGGCTCTCACTATCCATTAAAGGCAATAAAAGGCCAAAAAAAAAGCTAACTGGGAGCTAACTGCCATGTTGGTCTACAAAAAAGTGGCATCTTTGTTTGTTAGCTCGGCTACACGGACGGAAAACGCCCCATCACTGCTGTAGAAAACAGAAACGAGCAAAAGCAGAGTGAACCTTGTTTCTGTATCTGAAGGTGGTGTTGTGTTCAGGGGCCAGCAGGCTGCTCCTCAGGTGCCCCGAGCTGGACAGCAGGGAGGTCACCGTGGACTCTGGAGACAGGAAGTCACCCACCAAGCCGCTGGACGCCATGCTACTGAAAACAACAACAATAATGAGCACACTCTGAGGCTTCAGATCACTAAATGACAGAGAAGAGACAGAGAGATGGTGTGATGCTGGAGAGGAAGTGTAAAATGTGAAATGTGGCTAAAGTTGCTTTTTAAAATCTTAAATCCACACTTGGCTGATTATGTCCTCTTTTCACCAGCACAAACAAAAAGGTGAGGATCTTTTCTTCATTTGCTGCTGTATCTGTGGGTCTGTGTCACAGTCATCCCACAGCTGACAACCCCAGCCAGGTCAGACAGACAGACAGACAGACAGAGTAGCCGCAGAGCTAACACACCAGTGGAAACAATCTGTCTCCTTTAACATCAGTGGTTTGAACGTTAGGGTTGACATTCAGACACACACTGATGTTATCCTAGCTCACAATATAGGATTTTGGCCCGTTTGCTTGTCCTGCTTTTTAAAACAAGCCTGTCAATATCGAGTTGTTTTAAAGTTAAAGTTTATTTGGCTTTAGCCTAGCCAATAGCTAGCTAGCGTGCTAGCTAAACAGCAACCAAAACACAAAGCAACCAGCGCTGTAACGTTAGCTAACTGACAGACAGCGTCATTAACGTTGATAAGGGTGTTCTACGTAACGGTAGTTTAGTCTCTAACGTTATAACGTTATATAATGCTTATATGAGCTTTTACAACCGTGTTGACTTAGTTAACAACTAAAATATAATCAAAATCTCAAAAGTTAAAGTTAGTTAAACTCCTAACTGACGTTAAAATTCAAATTAGCATCACTAACGTCACCATGCTAAAAGCAGGCATTCTAATCCAAACCTGCTACTCTGTCTCAAACTACAATAACACGCTTACACTTTTACACTTCTACTCCAAAGGGTCTCCTTCTCGGTGGATTTCGAACCCAGCCCTCTGCCTACAGCGTCGTCCAAAACAGACAATTCAAGGCTCCCGGGTAAAGCTAACTAACACTGTTAGCTGGTCTGGAATCAGTTAAGCCCAGACGGGCTCTGCCAGAGACGCTGCTCCATTTAAAAATCTGGCAATCAAATCTGTTCATTGTTATTAGCGGAGGCGGACATGGCTGGCATAGTAAAGTATGACATCTTACGGACTTCTAAGATCTTCAGGAACTTAGGGAATATTTACCAACCGGGGCTGTCGCTGTAAACTTCCACTGTCCAAGGCACATCATATGAGGGGAACCGAAAACGAGGTTAAAATGACATTAAAAAAACGTTATATTTGTTCTATGGATTCATGTCGAATTAACGACACACTCTTCCAAAACAGGAAAACTTATAGATTTGGTTGTAATACTAGTTGAACTTTCTCTAAACGCAACGCAAACTCTAGCCTGCCAGTTTGTTAAGGGGGGTCTGGTGTGCAAGTGACCTCTGCAAGTATCCGGATCACATTATTTTCCAAAGCTTCCTAACAGACCTGAAGTAGTGTGAGGCAGACATGATATACGTAGACGCCTCATAGACTGACGCTGCCTGTTGCAGCTGACGTATCAGCGCGGCCGCCATCTTGGATGGCTCTCCAATGCGCCCGCCCTGCATTTATTTCTACTGAGGAAGGTGTATCCCTAACTTCACTATAATTCCATCCATAAGTAACACACTGATAGCATGGATAACTATTGTTGTTGTTGGTTTCATACACTTTCTGTAATAAAACGTCTGAAAGTAAAAATGCTGTCATGCGGGGGACCCTGGGACAAAATCGTATCAAATGGGGGTCCGTGGTCTAATTTGTGTCACTTTAACAATGTATAGGCATGGTTTTATTTCTTCTTTTCCTTCACTATGTATGTATCTAGTGTATGACTCACTTGTACTTGCATATGTGTATTTTTACTATGTACACTGAACACCACTTTTCCATTTCAAATTAACATTGCCATTCCGCATAACATTTTATTTACTATTTTATTTGGTACATTTAGCTGATTACATGAGTCATTTTGAATACATTACTTATAATGGAGGAAATTCTGTTTTTCTATTTCCTTCAGGTTACAATATTCTCCGGTCTCTTTTTCATGCCACTGATGACCGGTTGGATGTTTTCACACAATGAAAAATGTACTGTTGAGGTTGCTGTGTCCAATTCTCCGTCTGCCTGTATTTTGCAGTTCTGGTTTTGTTGTTTGTTGTGTTTTTTGATTTGTTGTTTGTTGTGTTTTTTGATTTCTTGTTGTGTTTTGTTGTTTGTTGTGTTTTTTGATTTCTTGTTGTGTTTTGCACTCCCATTGGCACTTCAAGGCCACCATCTGCTTATTGTTGTTTGTTCTTTACCATTTGTTTTGGATTGAGTGTAGATGCCATCCTTTTGTTGTGTTTTCCCAACACTGTTGTTCATTTATTTTTCTTCCACACTATACCTCTCCATCCAATTTTGAGTCTGATATTCATTTTTGGATCACTTCTTTCACCAATTTATCTGTTTTTGTGTTACTGAGACCCACATGAATGTCATATTATTTTTCCCATATAACTATCCTTGAACTGGTGAACAAGAGTTTATAAAGCATATACTGATGGATGCTTCTGAATGCAGATACAGACTTTATATTTTGTTGATCTCTCCTGTTCAGTCATGCACTCCCATATCTCGCCATATGATCCCCTGTCCACCCAAATGTCATTTAATTCCTTCTCCCATGTCTGTAAGACCCTTGTTAGATGACTTCATATTTCCCTGCTTATGTTATCCTAATATTATGGATTTACTCCCTCTCATCACTACTGAGTTGTTGTTGGGAACCTTTCTCTCTAAACTCAGTGCTGTTGTTGTTAAAGTTAAAGCTGCAGTAGGTAGTTTTTATAAAAATAACCTTTTGTCATATATGCTGAAACTTTCACTACACCCTGACAGTAGTACATGAGACAGATTATCTGTGAAAAAATCTGGTTCCTCTGGCTCCTCCTAGTGCTCCTAATGGCATTTACAAGGATCCACCGGGCCTGAACGAAAACAACCAATCAGAGCCAAGAAAGATATCAAGACACCTTGGGTTGGTGGCTTGAAAACAGTTGATTTTTGAGTCTCACTCCCAACATCAGTATTTGATATGACAAAAAGTTATTTTTCTGAAAAATAACTACTGCAGCTTTAACGTCAATTCCCCTTCCTGCAATCCTGTCAGAGTTCATAAGGGGGTCATTCCTGTTCCCAGGGCCTTATTTCTCCCAGTTCTAGGGTTAGGGTTAAGGGGTTAGGGAACTTAGGACCCTTGGAACATGGGATCCTGGGAACATAATACGCTGCCCTTGTTATTGCGAGGAACAGTGTAAGAATATGGTTGGTCGATATCCCTACACAATGTCCCCCACAATCATATAATTAATTAATGACAATGTCCAGGAATCCGTGGTACATAACAGAAATAACAATCACCACACAGCGGTTCAAACCTTCCACAACAATGACCGCTTCCACTATCCACTGCCCCCTCTCCCAGTGCTCATGGTTGTACAGGCCCCTTTAACCCAGAGCCTGTGACGTCAGTAGGGGCAGAGGGAGGTGTAACGGGGTAAAAAGCAGCGAGTGATCACTCTGCCACAAAGTACGGGCACCAGAAAGTCATCCAATCAGAGCAGCCTAGCCATAAATAAATGATCTGTATACTTTGTTTGATCTCAGTTAATATAACATTTAATTGATTCAATTTAATTTGATTGTCTAAATGAAGTTTCACAAAATTGTTCCGAATAAAAGTCATTTGTTGAATTATAAAACATTTTGACTGAATTAATGTGAGATCACGTTCGCTGGAAGGTCGCATTTATTTTCAAATAACTGTGCAGGTTAGCTTGTTTTAACTTTTATTTAACCTGCTAGTGTTCTCATCCAGCTCTCCTTTCCCCCTCACATCTTTGCCTGCCCTGACTCCGGCCTCTGCTCCCCCCACACCACTTTAATTATCCACAACTCTGCCTACCACCAGCGCCTCCTTGCTCCCCTGCTTACTCACTTTAGATTTCTTTTCTGAATGTGGATCAGCACAGGGGTGGTTCTCCTGAAATTTGGAGAGGATGTTTCTACCTCCCTCTCTCTTTGATCTATTGTATGTCTATTTGTCTGTAGGCTTTTAGTTTCGTTTAGTGATATTCTATTAAAAAGTGAAAGTAGACGTCTTAGCCTAGACGTGGTGTATTCAGACATAAACTTCCTCTTTTTAACTTATGCAACCAGGGTTTAGCTAGACTCTTTAGGTCTTTTAGACATCGAATAAATAACACAATGGTTGTGTTGACTCAACTGAAACGGAAATGAGAGTGCTATTTGCTCCCACACCTTTACGTATTTCCTGTAAATACAGGCAGTTAGCACTGCATAATATGTCCCCGAGTCAAGCAGCTGTAGCGGACCCCTTAGCTCCTGAGCCCCGTTCAGTTACACGCTAACAAAATTGTACCCTACTGGTTTACATACATGTTACACAGCGTCAGAGGTGGAGGTTGTGCTCACTGGGAGGTCTGAGCTCTGTGGGGCTAAAAGTTGAAGACTGATGAAGGGTGATTGTCATGATATTATTGGTTGAAATCAGTTCATACTAATGTAAGGACACGTCTCATTTTGTTTCACAGGAAAACTAAATTCTTTGTATTTTGATATAAAAATACAAAGTAAGGGAGTTTTTGTTGTTAAACGGGGATACAATATAACTGAGGGTGCAATCTTAAAGCCTTATTTTTCATTTCAACTGGACTTTAAAGAGCAAGCTTTGTCCATAGAGCAGTGTGAAAGTGTCCTGAGATCAGTTGTGGCTACAGTCAGTAGTTCAACCAACGCAAACTGCGCCTGTGCATCATATTCACTGACATGTTTCAGTAACAGACAGTCCTGCTTAACTCAACGGTCTAAAAATACAGGCTCCACCACTCGGCTTCCGTATAATTGAGACGTAATGGGTACGTTTTTTTAAGACCATCACAGAGTGATTACTCTGTCACAACAGACGATCTAAGAGGGAGCGACTGTGCGTGTGCGTGCTTGCGTGCATGGGTGTGTGTGTGTGTGTGTGTGTGTGTGTGTGTGTGTGTGTGTGTGTGATGTCGTAGACGTCACAGCCTGCCGTTGGTCCAGTTCAGTTCAGATCAGTTCAGATCATATGGACCGTTGGTTCTCTCCGGAGGCTAACTGAACTAAATCTGGACCAGAACCAAGTTAAACCCGGGACACCCCTGCTCGCGATCTGAACCGGGACACTTTATATTTTTACTTAACCCGAAATAAGCAGCGTAAACAGCCGGGGCGGAGGGAGGGAGAGCCGCCGTTAACGTAACGTCCGTGACGTCGGTCCGCCCGGGCTGCTGCTCCGCTGGCTTTACCACGCTGTTCGTCAGGAGGGTCCTCATCGGTGTTTACTGAGCGATCGCTCGGTCCGGTCGGAGCCTAATCGCGGGATCGATAAGTGTGTGATGATGGAGAGGAAGAGGACGGACTGTCCCGCTCTGCCGCCCGGCTGGAAGAAGGAAGAAGTGATCAGGAAGTCCGGACTGAGCGCTGGAAAGAGCGACGTCTACTACTACAGGTACTCCGTCACACTGATCAGCCGGCTCCCACAGGAAACTGGTGATCGATCAGTCAGCCTGTGGTCATTGATCCATTAGCAGTTCTGATAAAGTGTGAAGTGGCTCAGTGAGTTACTGTGAGAGTAGTAAGAATGTAACGTTAGAGTAACGTTACATTCTGTAGTTGTCCTGTTGCTGGTCGACATGGTGTCAGTGTAAATGATTTGTGCTAACAACCCTGTAATACTCTAATAATTAGAATGACATCATTAAACAGTTGAGTCATATTACTGTATGTTCACTCAGTGGCTCTGTGGTTGGCGGCAAGCTGTTTCAGTTGCTGACACTGGCGGTTCCTCCAGGGCCGCAGCCAGGATTCTAACTCCTGAGTTCAGAAGTCCTGAACTGTTTTATTCCAATGCTCCAAAAGTCTTCCTAAGTCCCGCCCCTTTTTGTTCTGTGCTCCAATAACAGTTGAGCAGCAACTTTCACTTTTCCTTTATGAGATCATCCATGTATGAAAGATGGACATTGTGTCTCCACTTCCTCCCACTGCAGAAACATTAAGTCAAAAGCCCGGGCTTAACCGTCAGTCAGGACGGGAAACACCCTTCTTACAGCTTTAAATAACTCATTCAAAGCAAACACAACAAGAATAATTCTACAGAGTCAATTTAATCTATGTTGGACCAGATTTGGAAAATGATTTAAAGACAAGATTTGTGACGTGTATATATACATAGTCACATGTTAAGTTAGCAAATGTTAGCCAAACTAACCAGCTAATATACATCAGTTGTTAGTTAGTTGGGTAGTTAGCTAGTGTTTTGCTCTAAAATGCTAGCTAACTAGGTAGCACATCTACAATACTTGTTAGCCAGCTCGTTATGTTTGATAGCTAATGTTAGCAAAATGCTAACGCTAAATGAGCTAGCTAACGATGAAGTAGATTAGCCAGGAAAGGAGAAAGTTGACTGAGGTCACTAAAAGGGGCCGGATTTAGGAAGGATCGCTGTTTAGCTGGAATAATTGTTCTAACTCATTCCTTTTGTGCGCAATAGAACTTCTGAGAAAGATTTGATTTGCAATTTGAGCTTCAGTAGCTCATCTGTTGAATCAGACCCCACGTGCATCAATGAGCCTCGGTCTCTCTGGTTCTGTTCCTTCCTTGGACCACATTGATAGGTACTGACCTCTGCAGACCGGGAACACCCCACAAGAGCTGCAGGTTTGGAGATGCTCTGACCCAGTCGTCTAACCATCACAATGTGGCGCTTGTCAAAGTCGCTCAGATCCTCACACTGCCCATTTTTCCTGCTTCTAACACATCAACTCGAGGACTCCTGGCAGTAGAATGATCAACTATAGGCCCAGTCATCCGTAAAAGGAAAAAAACTAAACAAAACGTAATATATCATGAAAACGCCACAACTGTGTGGTCATACTGCCCAGCACTATTAGGCACACCTAGCTTTAACCAATGCAGTCCAGTCCAACAGTCCTGCAATAAATCTGTTTTAGAGAAGTGGGTCTCAATCCGGGGGTCGCGACCCCATCATCCCTTTAATGACATTCAACACAGTGAGCAAGAACTAAAAAAAAAAGTACATATTAAAGGCTGTATACTCTGTTTTATACATATTAACAGGCCTAGTTCAGCTCTTCAGATGTAAGAAAACATGTTTGTTTGGTACAGACCCCAACAAATGTCACATCATCATGATTTTAATAGTTTGTTAATTTGTGATGCTAAAATGATAATCGCAATATCTATCAAAACAATCGCAATATGATGTTTTTACCCTACGTGCAGCCCTACTCCATTACTGTGCTTGTAGGCCTAAAGCAGACATGTTGACTGTTGGCTGTGAAGGAGCCGTTATTTTAATTAAACTAAAAGCACGACTTAGTCCTTGTTCTGTCTGCGGGCAAAGCAATGGTCTTCCTGTGTGAGTTTGGTAGCTTTCATGTGTTAAACATGGGGGTTGGAGGTTGGTGGGGGACTGATTATTCTAGGGTGTTGCGACTGTAAAGGAACCACTGCTTTAGAGAGGTGATGATTCCACTTTATGATCATTTTCAAGCAGCTAGTGTGCAGTGCTCTTGAATTGTATTACTAGCATTATAAAGAGAGGTGTTTCTTTTATTTTGTCCACCCCATTTACATTGATTAAGCACAGTTCTATGAATATTGTACGTTTTGCAATGTAAGCATTTATTAAGATAACTTGTGCACTCTTGCAATAACACATTAAAAATAGGACTACTGACTGAACAGAAGGATATCTCGGCCTCTGTTGATTCCGACCCTTTTTTCTCTCACACAAGTCCTCCAATTCTATGGAAATGCAGGCCTTAATCACTCCTTTGATAAATCAATCAATACATTAAGTAATGGGTAAGTTGCTGCGTCAGTTCTGTTTCGTTCTTCATGCACTTTTCCTGCACATTACATTTTATTTTGTCCAATCAAACGTACAATAATTCACATTCAATCGGAACAAGAGCTATTCAGCATGTTGTTTAACTCTTCTCTAAAGCAGATCAAAGTTGAGTCTGAAGCTTTTACATTCCTCCCGGTTCTGTATCTTCACCAACAACTACTGCGTTAGATCGTAGAGGAAACAGTGTCACTCGCAGTGCAGGTCTGTGGTGAGGCTGTGACGCCGCAGAGCCGTCTGCTGTTTTCAGAGGCTGCGTTCACTTCCTGTTTGATCAGCGGCAGAGGCAGGGCTCGATCAGATCGACCGCTCCGTCACATCTGAGCTCCGTCACATCCTGAACCTTGAACACGAGGGTAATCAGCGGCTTGGAGCAGAGACTCGCCTTTACTTTCAGTTTGCTTTGTAATGTGACCCATCAGTGCTTAATAATAATAATAATAATACATTTTATTTATAATACGCTCAAAGTGCTACAGGTTAAAAAAAAAAAAAAAAAAAAAAAAAACATCTAAAGGGGACCAAAAGCTTTGCTAAAAAGAAATGTCTTAAGACCTTTCTTAAAACAGTCAGTGGATTGTGGTGCCCTCAAGGTGTCAGGGAGGGCATTCCACAAACGTGGGGCAGCAACACAAAAGGCCCTATCTCCCGTGGGCCTGAGTCTGGTTCTGGGTATGTGGAGGAGGTTTGAGTGAGTGGAGCGGAGGGAACGTGTTGTGTTCTGTGAGTTGATAAGTTCCTTGAGGTAAGGGGGGGCATGTCCATGGATACATTGATGTGTGAGGAGGGAAACCTTGTATTCAATTCTGGAGGAGACGGGAAGCCAGTGGAGTGAGTGGAGAATGGGGGTGCATATTGCTCATGTTCTCAGAAAGGGGGGGAGTTTGGAAATGTTACAAAGGTGGTAGAAGGAGGTCTTGCATAGGTGATTTATATGGGCTACAAAAGTGAGTTGGGAGTCCATTTTTACACCAAGATTTGTGACTGTTGATGAGAGGGGGATGTTGGAGCCAGAAAAGGTGATGCTGGTTATGGATGATGATTTGGTCTGGTGGGGGGTGCCAACCAGGATGGCTTCGGTTTTGGAGCTGTTGAGTTGAAGAAAGTTATGCTCCATCCATACCTTTATCTCCTCCAGACAGGTGGTGAGTTTTGGGGATGACTGTGAGGGTGGGGTTGCAGCTGTGGCATTTACATAGAGCTGTGTGTCATCGGCCTAACAGTGGAATGACATTTTGTGACGGCTGATGATTTGACCAAGGGGAGTGAGGTAGAGGATGAAGAGGATGGGGCCACGGACTGACCCCTGGGGGACACCACAAGTGACTGTGTGTGGATTTGATTTGGAGTGGCCCAGGGAGATGTATTCTGTCCGATTTGCGAGGTATGATTCGAACCAACTGAGGACAGTGTCATTGAGTCCAGTGTTGAGGTGGAGCAGGTTTAAAAGAATGCCGTGGTTGACAGTATCAAATGCAGCAGAAAGGTCCAGGAGGATGAGGAGGGAGGGAGAGCCAGCATCGGATAATATGAGGAGGTCGTTTGTGACTCTGACAAGGGCAGCCTCTGTGCTGTGGCCAGAGCGGAAACCTGACTTATGGTTATTATGTTTGAGGTGGTCCTGAAGGTGGGTGGCAACTACTTTCTCAAGTACTTTTGATATGAAGGGGAGATTGGAAATGGGCCTGTAGTTGGATAGGACTTCCGGATCAAGAGTGGGTTTTTTGAGTAACGTGACCAGTTTGGAGGGAATGATTTATAACAGCGGTGATCAGGGGACTTAGGACAGTGAGATGGATTTTTACCAGGGAGGTTGGGAGAGGGTCCAGGGGACAGGTGGAGGATTTCATCTTCCTGATGATGTTCTGCACCTCTTCTGATGAAACCTCAGGAAAGCAGTTTAGGGGTTGGAAGACGGTATATGTTGGGGGAACAGTTAGGGTAGGAGGACCAGAAAGGGCAGAGCGAATATGTGCAATTATTGATGTGTGCTTGAGCAAGGAGGGTAGTCAGCAGTCGACTTACTGGAAGAGCAGCAACACCTAGCTGGGGCCTCCGCTGGCTCCATCTTTACCACCACTTCCAACTCCACAAACTTCATTCAAACACACGTTTTATTTTCATGTCTGATTGACGCGCTATATGTATATTCTCAGTTTGAATATTTTACTCAGTGTAAGCGTCATATAGCTTCAGTGAAGAGCTGGAGCAAAATGAAACAGTATATGTGACACACTCTCACACACACTCACACTCTCACACACACACTCAGACGGCCTCTGATCTTTGTTGCTGCTGACCTACATGTCAGACACAGCTGAGTGACTGTGTGTCTGCTCTTGTACTTCTATCTTTATGGGGACCAATTACACTTTCAGACCTTTAGAGACCTTGAAGACGTTTTAGAAAGTGGGGACATTTTGTCTGGTCCGTACTTCTTCAAAGAGCTGTTTGAGGCGTTTTATTGTTAAGGTTAGCTTCGGTTAAGGTCAGGGGCTAGGGGATGTATTACTGTATGTAAGTACTGAAGCGCAAACGTTAGTGTGTGCGGAGCAGTGAATGAGGAAGTGTTTGACAGTTGCTGCTGGTGTCAGATGGGATGTCATAACGGATTGATTAGGCTGTACAAAGTGAGTTTGAACTTGCATCCTTGGGAGTTCAAAGTTGGCAAGTGGAACAGTAACTTCCTGTAGTCTCTGCTGGTTGCCTAGCAACTGCTCACAGCCAAGAAATTGTCTGGCACATAATTGTTGTTTTTGCACTTCGTTTTAATTACTGACTTTTAGAGGAATTGGACAGATCCAGGCTAGCTGCAAACTCTAAGTCTCTCTCTCACTGGCAAAGAGTAGCCATGTACAGAACATTAAGCTCATTTTTAGCTGGTTCTGACCATCACTTTCACCAGTTAAAATGACTTTGATTTACTAATGTTTTTTTATTTGATAGCAAGCCCAATAAATTTTGCCTGTTGTCAGATTTGTGTGCTCTTTGCAAGTATTTATTTGACCAAAGATAATTTGTGATGAAGGATTTTCCCCTCTATACCGCTGTACAGTTGTGGTGTTTTTGTAGTTTCAACAACTCCAACAGACTCTCCTCTGTAGCGGATTGCTTCACATCAGTTTCAGGAGTTGCATTCTCCCAGTTAAACTTTCATGTATCATTTCAATAATTTAAGATTATCAATTTAATAGGTTTGGTCCAGGACCTTCAGTATTTGTATTAAGTCACTTTTCCATGTGCCAGATGAATATTTACTCAACACTGTATATCTTCTGCCGCTATGTAAAGAATACCCAATATGATACCCAATATTAAAGAGACAACAGAACCATCAGTAAATCTCCAAAGGGCTTGCTGAGATAAGACTGTTCTAACCAGTGATGGATGCTGACCAGCAGGTCTTGCAGAACTGGTGGATCCTCACAACTCCGAAACATCAGAACAAATGATCAAGTAGGCATTATTTTGTATATAAAATATATAATAATATAAATGTTTCATTTCTTGTTTGAAAAATATCTTTAGTGGCACAACAGTAGTAGAACTAAAATTCTAGTTGCGTGAATTCTGACTTGCGTGGGCAAGTCAGCTCCCAAAACATCCTTGATAAAACGGATGGAGCAAGAACACTTCTAGGCATTTGCATAGTACTTGACAAAATGTGAACGCAAGTACAGACAAGAACACAGATTGAGAAAGGCCTTCTGTCTTGAGCTGCGTCAAGGTCCTGTGACTAGGAGGTGTTTCCGTGGTTGCACCATCAGACTGCAGTGAAGACGGCAGTTGTCAGTGTTGCTAATAAGTGTAAAGTGTAATTATCTGAGTGGATGAGAGTTTATTGAGTTTTGTATGACAGAGTTAAACATCAATTCTGATGATCCAAACAACCACTTTGGGCTTTCAGGTGTCCTGAGCCTTTAGTTGAAGATTTCTACAGTTCAGTTTGGAATGAATTCCAGATATCACCACTGATATTCTGTCTCAAATCCAACATACCGACGGCTGGCAAATTAAAGGAAAAATCAACATAAAGTGTCTTAGTAAGGTGTTGGGCCACCATGTGCCGCCACATTGGCATTGATTCTAGTAGATAGATTCAAGTCTCTTGAACTCTACTGGGGGGATGAACACCATTCTTCTGGTGTTCTGATGTTTAAACGATGGTGGTGGAGAGTGCTGTCTAACGCGTCTCATAGCTGTTTCATTGAGCTGAGATCTGGTGCCTGCGAAGGCCACAGTATATGATTCACACCATTTTCATGCTCATCAAACCATTCAGTGAGACCATGTACCCTATGGATGGGTGCATTTTCATCCTTAAAGAGACCACTCCCATCGGGGTAGGAATGTTTCATCATAGGATTAAAGGACATCACTGAGAACAACTTTGTATTGACTTCAATGACCTTTACCTCTAGGGGGACAAGTGGACCCACTGTAGGGGTCAAGAATTCATCTCTTACCATTCTCTTAATACACTTACCCACTTGTCAATAATATGGTGAAGGATGACTCATCTGACCTCTATCACTTTTTTCCTTTATGCCTCTTTTGCACCACTGAACTCTCAAATGTGCATTCATCTTTGTAATGAGGGGTTTATGCACTACCACTCTACCATAATGTCCCTCTGACAGCATCACAATTAACTGCTGCTCAGCATTTTATACATGCCACAGAGCATGATTGGATGGTAAATGCTTAATTGTACCTAGCAGTGGACCTATATGGAAGAATCTGCATTCATTGTGTTTCTCTACTCATTTATTGAGTGGAGAAATTGGTGGATTTATTGTGTTAAGACAACTTAAATTCCTGATTAAGTTGATAAAAAATCAGAAAATGATTTTTTTGGGTGCAAAATTAAGATATATATCTTTAATCACACTTTCTTTGTCTGTCCTGCTTCTGTCCTTCCTTCCTTTCTTCTTTCCTTCCTTCAGTCCTTCAGGGAAGAAGTTCAGGAGTAAACCTCAGTTGTCCCGTTACCTCGGAAACACAGTGGATTTGGGATGTTTCGACTTCCGGACGGGGAAGATGATGCCTGGAAAACTGCAAAAGAACAAACAGAGACTCCGACATGACCCGCTCAGCTTGTCCAAGGTAACACTGATTGATCATACCTGTGGGGGAGGGCTGTGGCCGTGGTTGTGGTTGTGTGGTGTGTTATCAGATTATCAGATTAACGCAGCTCTTCCTGCAACCGGTTCACAGTTCAGCAGGTCAGATGACAACCACTCATTCACAGGAGAGGAAGAGTGTGATGCATGCATGAAACCCCGCCCACCGACTGCTGTCTCCTTCTGCTCTCATCACTCGTGTGACAGTATATACCAGGGCTGTAGTACTCAAGTCCAGTCTCATTATCTTGGTCTTATGTGTGTTCTGACATTGTTGAGGGTGCGGACTCGCCTTGGTCTCGTGGTTGTTTGCCTTGTTTCAGTGTCACTGATGCTTTGGCTTTATGGCCATTTTGACTCACACATGTCTCTGTCCCATGCATGTTTTGCCTCTGACTGTCATGACTAAGAATTGTTCGGGTCTGTTTTGACTTGGACTTGTTAAAATCAAGTGGACTTTTGACTATGACCTTTCCGTCTGTGTTTGACTCAGACTCGTCTCTGTCATTTCAGTGTTTTGACTCGGACACGTCTAGGTCTTGTCAGAGTTTGGTTCTGTGGGTCTTTGGACTCTGACTTATCTTTGGCTTGTAGGTGTTTTAACCTGGTCTCGTCAGTGTCTTGACTAAGAGTTGTCCAGGTCTCTTAGGTGTTTTGACTTGGACTTGTCTTGTCTCGTGGGTAACTTGTCACAGACTTGTTCCGCTCTTGCTTTGACTCAACACCAGTTTGAGTCTAAACACTCAGAAGACAGAGAAGTATTGTGGACATTTTGACTTAGACTTGTGTCATGGGGGGTTTGACTTGGACTTGTCTTGGTCTTGTCAGTGTTTTGATTCATGCTGGTCCGGGTCTTGGGGATGTTTTGACTCTGACTTATCTTTGTCTTGTCATTGTTTTGGCTAAAACTTGTCTGGGTGTTTTGACTTGGACTTGTCTGGTCTCGTGGGTGTCTTGTCACAGACTCGTACCGCTCTTCTCAGTGTTTTGACTCAATACCAGTCCGAGTCTAAACACTCACAAAACAAAGAGAGAGAAGTCTTGTGGGCATTTTGACTGGTGGGGGGGTTTGATTTGAACTGGTTGGGGTCTCGTGGGCATTTTGACCCTGACTTATCTGTGTCTTTTGGATGTTTTGACTTGGACTTGTCTCAGTCTTATGGGTGTTTTTACTCTGACTTTCCTCTGTCTCCTGGGGGTTTGACTCAGACTTGTCTTGGTCTTTTCTTGGACATGACTTCAGTGGTCTTGACTACAGCACAGGCAGTGTATCTGTTGTGACAATTTGTCCACAGTTCTTCAATCAGCTACGTCACATTTAGCATTTTTAGCTGCATTAACTGACGTCTCTGAATACACCTCACTATGAGCAGATGGGACTCATTAACATTAGCTGGAATCCATCTAATTAAATTTGAATGATCATCCAACCTGGGTCAGCACACACACACACACACACACACACACACACACACACACACACACACACACACACACTCCAAAGCATCAGTCCTGTTGCTAAGGTTACCAGCAATTTAATATACTTTAAGTTCTTATTTAGACATGTGGTTAAGCTGATCACCAAAACTATATTTGAGGTGTCCACTTGTATAATTTTAACAGACGCCTGATCAGGAACTGTGGTTTAAGCTATGTTAACAGACTGACCAGTGTTACTGCAGTAATATGCTCCACCCTCACTTGTGTGTGTGTGTGTGTGTGTGTGTGTGTGTGTGTGTGTGTGTGTGTGTGTGTGTGTGTGTGTGTGTGTGTGTGTGTGTGTGTGTGTGTGTGTGTGTGAGAGAGAGAGAGAGAGAGAGAGAGAGGTCAAGTGTGTGTGCTGGCATGCCACTGCGCACGTATGCATGTCTGTGTGTGTTGTTTTGTGTTTGTGCCGCAGTCTTTGTACCAAAGATAACAACAGCACTGACTCCTCCCAAACAACAGGGTGTAGAAACTTCTCTCTCTCTCTCACACACACACACACACACACACACACACACACACACACACACACACAAACAAATAAGGAGTGACATTTGGAAACAAGGAAGTTCAGGTATGTGGAAGGAAGGTTTGACCATCAGGTGTAGCACTGTTTATAGACACTCATGTGACCCTCGTGACCTAAAGTAACCTGGAAAACCAGTGGAAAAGTCCTGCTTGTGTCTCCTACACACTGCAGTGTTTACTACAGCTGGAATATAAAAATGTTGGACACAAAGTCTGTTCTGAGGTTGGCGCCAGAGGAAAGGTCATGGCGTCATTAAAATCTAAAGAGTTCATCCTTTGGGGAACAGGAAAGGGAACAGGGCTTGTATGTTCCAAGCATCTCAGAGTGGGAAATCAATCGTCAGACGCTTGATGCTTTTAGGAGGAAGCACGTTTTATGAACTTTGGTGAAATGATTCCTATCTGTGTTGATATTTCTGAGAGCTCCAGACCCTCCTGCTAAAATATTATATATTGAGTTTTTTTTAGGCTAGGGTTGTTTGAAAATAGACCTTTTCTGTGTGGATTTGCACCGATATGACTCTGCAGAGGTACTCAGAAGACTCTTTCTTAAAAAAAAACTGTTCATTAAGTTAACCAACCAAATCTAGTTAACATTTCTAAAAACTGCTTCTTCTCTCTTACTCTGTGCTGCTTGCCACAGTATTGTAAATCACAGCGCACTCTGATGGATACACTTTGACACCAATGTATTACCACAAGCATTTTTGCTGCATTATATACTGGAATAAAACAGTTTTCATATGGGCACATATTGGATAATAGATAGCCATACCAGTACAACACCAGTATATAGGCCAAGATAGATAGATACTTTATTTATCCCGGGGGAAATTCAAGTTTTTTTTTTTTTAGATAATATGTCGAACAAGCAATAATATTTAATGTTGAGGCACTAAGTACAGAGCGAAAGTCAAAAGCAGGGAGAAACAGCTCCACCAGACTCCATAGACAAAAACAATCATTTTATCTTGCATATCATCATAACATTATTACTTCATTCGGAGTGGACAGAACCAAAACTAAACAGTCTTTGTCAGTCTTTCCACTGTTCAACAATCAACAACTCTGCTGTGGTCGAAATAAATCCTTAATTCACCGATGTAGATGAGAACAACAGCAGTTTCAGTGGCTCTACTCCGCTGCACACGGAGCAGAGCAGTAGATGTTGAGATACTGTATGTTCTCATAAATACAGCCAACATCAACATCCTTCAGCAGGGCAGAAATAACGTGTGTGTGTGTGTGTGTGTGTGTGTGTGTGTGTGCGCTATATTGACACGGTTTGTAACTCTGTGCTGCTGCTCTTCACACATCATTACTTGGGAGTACAAACACACACACACTCACACACGTCCTGTTGTTATCTGTGAAACCTCAGCTTAGAATTAACTCTTTAAGCTCAGCTGCCACACACACACACACACACAGGCACACACACACAGGTTGCGGGTTTCTTATTGCTCTCTGTCTCACGTTTAGGGAGGTAAACCAGGCAAGGAAGGCAGAAAGGGAGAAAGTAAGAAATTAGGAAAGCAGGAAAGGAGAATCACCAACACACAGACTCTGTCTCTGTCTCATCCAGGGAGGTAAACCGGACCTGAACACAGCTCTGCCAATCAGACAGACAGCATCCATTTTTAAACAGCCCGTTACCAAGGTTACCAGTCACCCCGGCAACAAGGTGAAGATTGACCTGCAGAGAGGGACCGAGCAGCCCAGACAGGTGAGAGGCTGACGCACACACACATGCTCATTCTGGTGTCACCATGGTAATGCCTGAGGGCGAGGTCAAGCTGTTGGAGAAGTTGTCATGACAACTGCAACCACAAGAGGATGCTGAGGCATCATGAGAAAAGCAGCATGACACAGACACACAGTGTTCTGCAGGAGGAATGAAAGATGGTGTGATGAAAGTGTAGAAAAGAATCATTAGACTCATCATTTATTCTTTTCTGAGTTATATGTCTTTCATTAGGTAGTATTAAAGTGTATAATAGTGTGGGATAGTATGTGTAGTAGGACTGTTACTGTTATAAATTCATATTAAGAACTAAAAGGTAAATCCTTTAAATGAATTCAAACCCAGCCGTGTAGCTGATAAGTGCACCTATAACTTGAGATTATTAATTTGTCACACAACAGATTTTAAATACGTACGGCATCATTTTGATTCATAGTTCAGTGTACATGCGTACAGAGCGCCGATCGCGGTGATCAGAAGGTCTGCAGTGTAACGGTGTGTTTTCGCCTCGCGTTACACATGGGATCATTTACTTGCAAGGCTGAAAGTCACCTTTTAATCCTGCATACAACGGTGGTGTGATCCCAAAATAAAGAGATTTAGCTGTTGTTTAATTGCAATAAACGGAACACACACGGATCACAATGCCAATTTGTAAAACGTGTGAATTCTTGGGGGGGGGGTTCGTCCACAAGACGATGAGCAAACAACTTTTAAAATGTTCAGTTCGGATTGATAAGGGCTATGCTAACTTAGTTGATAGTAAAGTAATATAAATAGCTAGACTCAAGTAACAGACCCATATAGTGGTTGTAAACATAAATGTTGGATGTTACAGGGACAGTGATAAGTACAAATGCAGATCACAGTGTTCTGATTGCATGAAAAAAGCATTTGAATTTGTAGGAAATCACAATATACTGAATCGTAACCCCTCTATCATGACACATATCGTATCCCCAGATTCTTGCCAAAACTCATCCCTGCCACTCAGTCTTTAAAGTCGTGGTGCTAGACGTAAACGGTGCATATATCATTTCCGTTTTCTTGGGATAGCTGCAGGTTATATGATAAGTTGGACATGAAATATAAGGTGAGAGATTTAACCTAAAACATAACAACAAAGGCACATTTTTAAACTTTAAATGATTTATGCTGAATGAGCTTAATGAATTATGAATATTATTTTTGGATACATTCGAGCCATTATTTTCCTGTGTCAGTAATCTTTTCCTTTGCTCCTGAGTTGTGAAACTCTTTGTAAAGTCTGTTTCAATATGAGCTCTAGAAATGAATCATCAGTCATCCTCCTGACCTTTTATAATGATGATTGAGATATTGTGCGATACCGTGATGATGGTTTACAGGTACATGGGATGAATTAGTGGTACAGGCACTACAAATATCCACATCTGTGCGTATTGGTCGCATATAATGACAATTTCGAGTTTGTAATGACTTTTAGTGCTTTTAGAGAACCTCACTGATGCAACACAGTTGCACTTCTTCTTTGCAGTTATTTTTGTTGACAGGTCTAATGAGTGGTGGTGCAAGTACAAGTATCGGTATGCAAACGGATGTTTAAGAGCATTTCTGCGTCCATTTAAGGCAAACTGTGGGAGTAGAAATGAGGCTTGTGATTGTGTGCCCAGTAGCCCTGACATGTAGTTTCATTTTTGAGGAGGTGCGTGTCAGCCACTGTAGCCTACGGAGTAACCTCAGAGCCTAGTCACCTGCAGCAGTGTCAGACTTTTATTGTATGATAACCATCTCAGAAAATATCACGGTTTCATGGAATAATGGTATAAAATATTAGACAATTATGATTTCATTATCAGTTACAATGACCCTTAAAGGAAGTGCAATTTCCAAAAGCTGCAGGTAAAATGTGTGAGAGAGTTTGCATGTTCTCCCTGTGTCTGCGTGGGTTTCCCCCACCGTGTTCTCCATGAGATCTGGAGTTACTCTCTGGGTGCGGTACAGTGGCTATCGTCAAAGCTTCATGGGGGGTCCAGAGGCCTTCTTGATTTTAAGGCGTGTGAGAAAACTTTGAAAATATACACAGTAGGTTTACTTCTGTGATGAAAACTAATGTAAAGTACATTTTCTAATAGAACAATCGACAATTTCCGTAAGAATTCTGCATTGTTGGGATACCTCTGTGACGTTTTCTGTAGGGCAGGATCAGTAGTAAAGATGCTATGGTTGCATTTTATTGTATTATTCATCCTTGCAACACTTGCTATAAAACTGATCCACTGAAACAATAAAGGCTATAAAATGTCCAGATCTAGATGTAGTCTAGCTTTTTTTTTTACCAATGAGTCCATCACCTGGAGGCGATAAAGCTGCAATTCCTGCATCTGCTTCACACTAAAAGCCTTCCAGTGGTTGCCATTGGAAAGCTCTTACTGTGAAACAGCAACAGGAAGTATTTGGTTGGCATTAACAGGATCTTAACACAGCAGCAGACTCCAGCTGGGGCAAGGGGCAGATCAGAGTGAAACTACCTGAAACTACAGCCAACCGTCTGCCGTCTGTCTGTCTGCAGCTGTTCTGGGAGAGGAGGTTGAAAGGTCTGCGGTCATCAGATGTCACAGGGGAAGTCCTGCGGACCATGAACCTGCCCAAAGGACTGCAGAGTAAGTCTCCATCATGATCCTGGAACACACGCTGTGCTCCAGTCCTGACGCCTGACCTCTGACCTCTCTCTCTCTGCAGGTGTCGGTCCAGACTCCAGCGATGACAGTCTGCTCTCAGCCATCGCCAGCGCTCTGCACATGAGCTCTGCACCGATAACGGGACAGACGTCTGTGGCCGCTGAGAAGAACCCGGCCATCTGGCTGAACACGTCCCAGCCACTCTGCAAGGCCTTCACCGTCACTGACGAACACATCCGGTGAGACACAGTCTTTGTCTTCTTTTTTGTCTCGCAGTAGTCACTGTTTCCACGGCTTTATCTGTCCAGCAACTATCTGAACACTCAGTACTGCAGGTAGTGTTGTGTACTTGTGACATTTTAACCTAAAAGATGATGAGGAATGTGTTTCTGCTCCTGACTTCAGGACTGAAGGCATGCTAACGTGCTAATAGAAGCATTTTGGGACAGTTTGGAGTGCTGGTGTTTGTGCTGTCACTGTTTATGTCAATTTTGGAACAAATTGGAATGAATTAGCACTCCAACCAGCGGGAGGAGCTTTAGTCTGTCACCGCTGAAACTGAGAGAAGGGAGAGACGTGAGGCAAGGCAAGATATTGAATGGGGTACAGGTGCATGCTGCTGTTAAAAACAACTGGAAGTCAGTTATTGTGGTTTGTCCCACGGATAAATGTCCACAAATCCACTTAGAAATTAGAGAAAAATAGACACTCCTTATAATTCCAGAACTTCCCTAACTTATCAGTGAATTTGGTGTGAAATGAACTCAGTGATAGTGGACTGTGGATCCGTGGGTACGTTGCAAACTGGAACCACTCATAGCTCATTGGGCAATGTGATGCCAGTTTGATTACACTCAGTGATAATGCAGCTGGAGTGCTGCCCCGTTTGCCCTCTGGGGCTCTCCTGCCAAAACCACAATAATAAGTTATCATTATTATAATTCAACAACAGTCTTATTGTTTGTTTGTTTTTGCCAAACATTAGAAGAAAGCGCCCATACATGCCCAGCTCTCGTTTAATGAGTGACGTCAACATCTTCAGTGTCTGCATTTGTTTCACAAGAGGTTTTTTCCTCTTCCTGTTTTTCTTTGTTTGTACATAAAAGAACAGGGTGTAAATGATTTTTAGAGGTTATTTATTCAGCAGTAACTGTATGTTTCCTACTTTATATTCTTACTGTCCGCCTTGAACCTCTGTATGTGTATTGGTACAATTGCTTTTATTGTTTCTTTCGACGTATTTACACTGACACATTCCATCATATTGCATCGGACATCTTTGCAGCTCATTGTTTCTTTAACCTGTAAAATGAGACTATAATGTTTGAAAGCAGAAACGACACAATCTTTCTGTTCCAAATGAAAAGTTAGTTACTTCTGCTGTTTAGCACAGTTATCAGAGGATGACGAATCATCTCACCGATTTGATTCTTCATAGATTTGTATCGCAATTTAACGATATCGTGACATATTGTTACATTCCTAGCCTGCGATCATCACATTCCTATTTGGATATTTGGATGTCTGTGCTTGTGGCTGTGACTCCAGTGTGTTTCTAAGCTCATCAGGCAGCTACAGAGATATTTCAATCAGAATCAGAAGCAGAAATAAATATTGATCCCCAAGGAGAAATTTGTTTCATTACAGTTGAAAATAGCAATAATAAGAAGAACATTCAAAATATGTATTTTATTACAATATTTAACAACAATATATATATAGAAATTGGATAGAAAATAAAATACAAAGTCTATACATTATAATACAACGTCTGCTCAATATCACAGAAACATGTGAAAATGTCACTTCCACCCTCTGATAAAACCCTGAAGCGTCCCCCTCTCCAGCCTGAAGACAATTAGATGAGTGCAGATGACTGATGCGTGCTGGATGGGGGGAGTAATAAGTTGTAGGGAGAGAGGAGGATGAGAGGGTGATGAGAGAGACGATGAGAGATGAGGACTAATGAAGCATGAAAGAGGAGGAGGAGGTTGAAGAAAAGCAGCCGCCACCACTGTCAGGCTGGGAGATTTACAGCAACCTGTGATTCAAAATAACATCCAGGTAGCTGCTGTAAGAGAGGAAGCAGCTGCGAAGTCAGTAATCAGCTAAAAGTGATCATCATCTGCAGATCCTCCCAGCTCACCTGCTGTTACAGAGTTGTACAACACTGGGAAAGGACAAGGACAATAGCACATTACCTACACGTCCCATTTACCTCCATCATCCAGTCAGCTTTTAGAGTATGTCCTGATGGGAGGAAAGGAAACACATTACTTTAAAGGTAAAGAGTTAAAGATTGTATAATCACTGTTTTTATGTTACTAATGTATACAGTGTTTAAATAACATAGGCGTAGATGTGGTCATTGTATGTGAATGTATGTGAAAGGCGTCGGTCGCAGTGATGACACAGATAACTGACTGTGTAGTTACCCATAGCTCTTTGGAGCATTTTAGCCTCTTCGATCGCATTGTTTTGGTTTTTACGGTCTGCAGTTTTTAGGTATTTGGTTCACTTACTGCGTTCGTCGCTGTCATTTCCAGATGCAGCAGGCAGCTGTTTTCATTAAAAACCTCTGTGACTGTTCAATATCTTCCCAACACCAAACAGCAGACAGACAAAATTAGCGACTAGCTTTTCAACATTGAGCCAGATATTTTGTAGTTGGTAGAGACCATAAAACAACAAAAGAGAGAGAATATTGGACTCAGTTGACTCTTCCTAAGTCCCGCCCCTTTTTGCTCTGTGCTCCAATCACAGTTGATCAAGCCTCGGTCAGAACCTCGGTCAACTTTCTGCTTTACTGTGCTAGGCTATGTTGAAAAATACTTCTACTTGTCCACTAGTCCAGGAAAGCATCAGTGACCCGAGATCATTATTAAACCACAACCGGGCGGTCGAGGCTCAGGAGGTAGAGCGGGTCGGTTCGATCCTCGGGAGTCATGAGCAAGATACTGAACCCCAAACTGCTCCAGATGCTGTGTGTGAATGTAAATGAATAAGTGTTAGTTTCTGTTCATCACTGTGTGAATGTGACATGTAGCACTCTGAGTGGTTGCACTGGTAGAAAGATGCTATATAAGGACAGTCCATGTAACCTGTTTTTCTTTATGTTTTCTCGGGCCCCTTTTCCTCCGAATTAGTTCTGGTTTTTGATTCGTGGAACCTTGTTGCACTCTAGCAAACCCACTCGCTTTTTTCACCAGTTTTGAGTAGAACCATTGTAATAAGGTGCATCATCATTAAAAAACAATTTAATTCCAGTTTGTTACAGACACTGTTAGCCCTGAACACTGAAACAGGAAGCTGTTCCTGTTTAAATCTACACAGCTTTTGATGCTTCGCTTCCAGTTTCTTTGACTGCTGCTTTCTTATATTCTTATTGAACTGTTGCTCAGAGGAAACTTTGTCTCTTCTGCTCAGTCAGTCTGGTTGAACCACTGTACAACGTTTTGTTCTCCAGGTACAAAATATTCTTAATCTATTTGTAAAGAAGGCTTTCTCCAATCTAAAACAATGAAAGAGCATTCAGAAATATAGAGCAGTCCTCTCAGCCAGCCCATTGCACCAAATCTAGCTCTTATGGCAGGTGACCCCTTTGAGCAGGAGGAGAAAATATGAGTGACAAAGGACCAGATGGAACTTTTCCAACATAATTAGTTTCCACAGAGGACAAAAGAAAAGTCTGCTGATCAGTCAGCTGATTATCCTGTCATATATTGTTGTTGTTGTTGTTGTTGTTGTTATTTCAGTGCTGTCTTCTCTCCTCCTGCCTGTAATTTATTGAAAAAGAGTCCCTGTAAACCACAGAGACAGTTACTGCAACCTGACAGCAGGGGGCACTGTGGGGACACACACTGACACACACTGAGTGTCTGTGTCTGTGTGTGTGTGTGTGTGTGCGTGTGTGTGCGTGTGTGTGCGTGTGTGTGTGTGTGTGTGTGTGTGTGTGTGTGTCCAGTAGAAAACTGAGCAGAGAACAGCTGGCTGAAGCCATTACAGCGGAATCACTGGAATACATCACTACATCCTCCCTCTCCTCTCCTGTCTCTCCTTTTCTATTTCCTTCTCTCCTTCTTTCGCTCTCTGCTGTCCTTCCTTTTTCTTCTCTTCCATGATTTCTTCCCTCCTTCCATTTGTACATCCTTCCCTTTCCCTTCTCTCCATTTATTTCCTTCCCTCCTTCCTTATCTTATTCCTTTATCATTCCGTCCTTTCCTCCTTCCTTTAATATCACCTCCTTGACTCTGTCACTCCTCTCTCTTTAGTAATTCCTTCTTCCCTACCTCAAGTTATTTCCTTGCTTCCACCCTTCTCTCCTTCCTTTATATTTCCTTCTATCCTAATCTTTTCCCATCCCTCTCTCATCTCTCCATTCTCCCTCTTTTGTTTTCCCCATCTCCATTCTCTTTTACCCCCTCCTCCTCTTCCTCTCCTCTCATATCTCCTCCCTCCCTCCAGCCTTCCTCCCGCCTCTCCTCCTCCTCTTCTTATCTCTCCCCTCCATTAATTTCCAATTCTCTTTCTCTTCCCTCCTCTCTCTCTCCAGTTGAATGTGCTTGTCATCCTAAATCGCTCTCATTCCTCTCCTCTCCTCCCTCCTCCTCCTCTTCATCTTCCCTCCTCGTACTCCTCCCCTGCTACATCAAACTCACACCGCTCTCTTGTTTTGGCCCTCTCATCTCTCACTTTTTCCTTTAGTTTTTCTTTCTCGTGTAGCCGTTCTGTCTCACAGCTTTCCTACAATTTTTCTGATTTTGTTTTTAATACACTTTTGTTTATTTTTAACTATGTTCTTTTTTCTGGATTTATCCTTTAAATTCTGCCCTAAATTGCTTTGTATAGCATGACCGGGTCCCCGTCTCTCTCAGGCTTCATTAATCCAGGTTCAATCTCAGACAATGGACCTAATTCCGTCTCGTCTCGGCATTCCTTTGTCTCTTGCTGGTGTTTGACAAAAGGTGGCTGACATGTTCTCTGTGTCTGTGGCAGGCAAGAGAAACAAACACACACACTCCTCTTAAAGAGCTGGTGTTCTCTGACTCCGAGGGAGTTGTCCGAGTTCAAACCCCCGTCATTCTCAGCAGCTCAACATGTGTGAACGCTGTTTTTAATCACAGAGATCAACCAGCTTTGTTTCCTTTTTAATTTTGGTCAATTAGAGGTGGAGCATCAGGACGGCGACGTCAGTTTCAACTGACAGTTTAATCCGGAGCAAGAGGCACCATATGGCCAAAAGTATGTGGATGCCCAACCGGTCTTATGAGAGGGCTGTCACGATATCAGAGCAGTGACGTGCAGTGGCGGCTGCCACTCCTAAAAGATGTCTGATTACTCCAGTTTGGTGTCAAATGCTGACAGTAATCTAATGTTTTGGAGTTCAAATATCTTCATTTGGGGGCTTTTCCAAGCAAATATTGATGTATGTGATTAAGTCAGCATATATTTCTGCCCCTTAAAGTGTCCATGCAACCAATAACAATATTATTGTGATATCGATAGTAGGGATGGGACCATTTCCGATTATTATCGCTTATCACGATAAAAAACAAAAAATGTATCATGGTGAATTTCCATTTTCATGATAACTGTGAATACCCTCACACGGGTTGACTTGAAAAAGTTGTCCAGCTCTCCAGCACACAGCATCTTTCCAGTCATTCCAAAATCCTAAGCCTGTCACTATGGCTGAAGGCTCGGCTTGCCCGTTGTATTCCCCACGAAAAGAATTACTGGATGTGTGGAAATAGTATAGAACAGGAAACTATAAGGTAAAGTGATTACAGTATGTTTTAGTGCCTTTTTAGAAGTATGTAAGTATATTTTTATATTTTTATTATCATGTTAATATCATGTATTGAAATGTTAAAATTTTCCATGCCTACTCTATAGAGAATTTGAAAAAAAAAAGTTCAATTATACACACAAAAGTCTTTTTATGATATCTTTCAAATTATTTACACTCAAAATATAAGTGCATGAAGGTGGGAACGACTCACGTAACTAGAGATACACACACTGAACCATGTCATCTGCAGGGCATGTTTTTAGCCATGAGTGAAGAAGACATGAGACTCCTCCCCACGCGTGTAGCCGTGGAAACAGAATTGCAGGTGAAAAAAATCCCAAATGTGTTTTTTGGGCGGCTTTATAAAACGTACTGCTGACTTTCTGAAAGTCAACAGAGCAGACACATGCTGGGAGAGAGAAACAGAAAGAGCAAGCCAGTGTGTGCAGTAAGGGAGGTGTGGGCGTGTGCGTGGAAAAGGGGAAAGCGAGGTCAGCACATTAAAGTAGTATGTGAGTAAACGCTAAAATGAGGTGAAAAATGGAGTGGAAATCAGAATGGTAAAATAAGATATACTACAATGTTTTTATTATGAGAATTTCATTTCATTCATTTGGACCCCGCTGGCTGTAGCCCGAAGCAGCAGCTATTCTTCCTAAACGTCCCACCACCACAACAACAACCAAAACCACAATAACAACATACAAAAACACAGTATAACACAGCACAGGACCAAGCTCTAGTTAGTGAAACCTGTAAACAAAGAATTCCTACAGTGATATAAAAAGCAGTATTATAAATCAGATTCAAATCAAAATTGACCCTACAAAAAGCCCTGGCACTCTAATTCGTTATGGCACTTCCATCATTCTACAAGACAACCATTGAATTTTCCATCAAAGAAAAGTTACAAAAATGATTCTTAGAAAGAAAGACAATCTGTGCACCTCTGTCTGGAACCACTGTACAAAAGCATACAGAAGTAACAATTACAGTGAGTGTGATCCACAAAGCGAGAACAGGAAGAAATGGAAATGATTTAAGAGGTGCTGGATTATTGACACAATATTACCATATGTGTATTATCAACATGAAATTCCTTTTGAATTTTTTGAATTTTATTTCATTGTCATTAAAATTATATCACAACACCCCGATGTTTGTATGTCATTCCAAAACTGTGTAACTTTTAAAAGTAGGACTAACAGACCTTCTCTGCCCAATGATAGGATGTCTGTGTGACTTCTGTTCAGTCTTGTTACAAGATTTGCTGTTTTAGGTGCAGACCTGCTCTGTGGGGTTTGATAAATCTCCACTGGCTGAAAAAAAACAGATCATTTGTACTTGAAGTTTGTATTATGTAATAATGTAATAATATATCGATTCATGACATTAAATGAGAAACATGTGGGCAAATGGAACACAAGCAGACAGTGGAATAGGAGTCATAATAAGACATCCTCTCCCACATCTGTGTGTGTGCAGGGAGCAGGAGCTGAAAGTGTACCAGGCCAGGAGGAGTCTGGAGGAGGCGCTGATGGCCGACGGTTTGGCGCGGGCCGCCGAAAACACTCGAGAGCTGCTTGAGGGGAAGACGGCCTGAAGACACACAGGTGAGTCATCTGTGAACTAACCATGTTTGTAGTTCTTTACATTCTTGCTTTGGGTTCTACTGCAGTATATTCTTCTAAAATTGCCCGCTCACCAGGCCAGACAGGTGCTCCACAAGATTTGTATATTTCCTTTTGATGACTTTAACATTTCGTCACACATAAAAGAAGAGTACATTTTTATATTACTGTGTCTGACATTTCTAAGTGGAACAGGAAGTGGAAATAAAATTGAAATTAAACATGTTAAAGACCCTTCCTCAAATGTGCACATGAACTGCAGAAGGGATTGGAGAGATGATGACTAACATTAGCCCGTTGTCGCGGTAACACAACATGCTTTCAGGCAGTCGAGATGAGGCGCACATCAGTCAGAAACAGAGTCTGTCAGAGTAACGAGGGAAGAGAGAAGCCACCGTGAAGTGAAGATTGTTTAAAAAGTCTGCATTTTAAAAATGTAAGAAACAAGACAGCTGACAACACGCCACACACATCTGCTCAACCTCTGCACGCAGCAGCTTCCTGCTCAGACAGACATTTGTTTTTTATGTGTGTGCAACGCTTCAGTGTATGGAGTCAAGGCTACGTTCACACTGCAGGTAAAAATGGCCCAAATCAATTTGCCGGTACAAGTTTTTGTCAGATCAGATTTCTTTTTCATGACCGTGTGAACAGCACAATCACATGGAATCTCATCTTTTCAATTCTGACACAGGTCTGTTTTCTTGCAGTGCAACCTCAGTGTGAACAGTCATATCAGAATTCGACTGACATTTATCACAGTACTGAGTCACTTAGCTGTGGTGGAGGTAGTCCATGTGAGCACAGTGAGGTGTTAGGACTGATATATAGTTGTACATACAGAAGGCTCTATGCTGTAGACCTACGCCGTTGTGAGCCTCTGTACTTGTGTGCTGGTGTGTCTGCTTTGCTTTGCAATTAACAGTGTGGGGTTTCTATGCCACTGTGTTGTTTTGTTTGGGTTTTCTATTATTTTTGGGGCATTTATTGACTTTAATTGAAAGTTGAATTTATAGTGACAGCTGAAGAGTGACAGGAAAGAGAGAGAGAGAGAGGGAGAGAGAGAGAAGGGCTGACATGCAGCAAAGGTCAGTCAAACCCATGGCCACTGCAGCAAGGACATCAGACGCCAGCTCTACCAGGCGAGCAACCAGGGCGCCCCGTGTTGAGTTTCTTCATGTACGTCAAACTGTGGCGACTGAAACCCTCGTCTCTCTCCTCAATTTGTCTCGTGATTTCCTTGTTTACCTTTTCCCCTGCCGCCATGAAAGGAAAGCACGAGGGAATACGAGGGGGCAGACAGGAGCATGTTGTCACGCAGCGAGACAGCGTCCCATGTGTGCCTGTTGGTCTGTGTGGAGGACACACTCTTTTGAGAATGTGTTTGAAGAGGGATTCTCAAACAGCATTATTAACTCATCTGGGTTTTGCATGAGTCGGCTCCCGTTCTCAGGCAGCACACACACACACACACACACACACACACACACACCCACACACACACACACACACACACACACACACACACACACACACACCAAGTGGAGAAATTACAGTGTCTGTGTCGTTGCGATGTGTAGTCACATTTCTGCAGAGGTTCACATCAGGCTACTCATACCCAGTATAAATCATGCATCAGACGTCCTTAGTATTTGGGGTGACACTTCTGTACAAGCAAATCTTGAGGGGTTGAATCGCAACCGGTCTGTGTTTGCTCCAACTTCCCATCCACACACACCTCCCTACCGAAGGAGCAGCCATTGCTCCACAAAAAGCCATCATTTGTCCTTTTCCTCGCTATCATCTGCTCACAAATTGGCTGGTATCAACTCGTAAATGAAACTGTGTACGTGAATCTGATACGGGCTACATTTAAAAAATAAAGTGAACAGCCAAACAAAAGAATCAGAACTGAGCAATGAGTCAGAACTGGGCACTAAAGGCCTATGCATACCGAGACTGTATTTTTCCTATGCGTGTTTTATTCCATTGAAATTGTTTGTTGTTGTTTTATTATTCTATTGGTTGGGAAATTCCCAATACGAGATGCAGTCGTCACACAATGGAGATGATTTCGTGGTCCTATCACTTGAAAGCAGAAAAAGAAAAAAGAAATATTGGGTCTAAGTTGTCAAGAACAAAGAGTTTCACCTGCTGATAAAGGAGCTGTCTGCAGCAGCTGTCTCTCTCTCTCTCTCTCTCTCTCTCTCTCTCTCTCTCTTGCTCCTTGTCTCCCATTTTCTTCCTTGCTCTTCTCCACTCGAGGTTCCTCCGCAGGCTGTTTCCACTCACTGCCCGCATCTTGCATTTGGCACCACGGCTACAAGAGGCTGAGCTGAACCCCCCCCCCCTCTGTGTGCTGCCTTCATCCTCTTTTTCCCAAAACTTTAATGACGGATGAAAGCTTCGGATCGTCGGTGTGTAGACGTGATTGACACAACGGGAGGTTTATTTAAACGTGCAACAACTTTGAATTAAAATACGGACTTGGTGTGCAAAGGACTGTGAATGTAGGCAGTGGGAATGTAGCCGTTACTTTACAGCTCACAACTTCTGACAGGGGGTCACTTCAGGAACTGATAGTGATACATTCATGTTAGCCGCCACTCACATTTTCACTGCTGACCAACAACAAGATTGACTTCTAATTGAAGTAATGAACTAGCTACTGAATTGGTAAAGAAGTAAACTGCTGAACTACTGAAATGCAGAACTAAAGTACCAAAGAATGATATGATATGAATGACTCTATCCGTGCTGCAGTTTAAACGTGAGCAAAGTTACAGATCACAGCTTTAAATGTCTTGAACGATGCAGGAGCAGAACCAATCTGCTCTGTCAGAAACCCTGTCAGTGTGTGTGTGTGTGTGTGTGTGTGTGTGTGTGTGTGTGTGTGTGTGGAGACCTGTTGTGAATGCTGATGGGATTCTCAGCTTCTGATTGAAACTCAGCCATGCAGCAGACTGTGTGTGTGTGTGAGTGATTGATGGGCTGTGGGCTTGTTGGAGATTGTGTTAATGGTTAATGCGATGTGTGTGTGTGTGTGTGTGTGTGTGTGTGTGTGTGTGTTGTGTTTTAGTTTGGTTATTGGTTATATTTCACTCTGCAGAGCCTGTAAACAAAACCAAATTAAAAAACATTTACTTTCAGAAGTTCACATATCCATCCATCATCCCTCTATTTCCCTGCCGCTTATCCAGGTCAGGGTCGCTGTGGCAACAGGGCAGCATAGCTGACCAGAGGCGGCTTTCAGTGTGAAAAGGTTTTGCTGCAGAGTTTGAGATATTTTTCCCCACAAAGGAGATTCACAGAAAAGAGTCTCACCTGGTGACTGCAGCCTGGATCATTTTAACTTAAGTTGGACTCCGGTTCCTATTATTCAGACCAGCTTTTACTACTGTGATTTACCAACACAGTGCAGTTTGTCCTGAGGGTGGCACTAAAGGAAAGTTTGTGAAACGGGTTCATCCTCTGGGGAGCAGGAATGTGAGTACATTCCATGGAGATCTGTTCTGGGCCCCAAATCTTCAAATATGCCCTGACATGATTGTATCTCGCTACGATGATCCAGTTAATTCTGACTTGGGTCTTCAAACACAGCTAGATGATTTCTTCATCGTGGGAATCAACAGACCATTCTCATTCTAAAATAAAAGCAGAATGTTGAGATACATCTTAAGCCATCTTGGAAGAACTTTATAATCCAGACTGGATCATCAATAGTCAAATTAGCTACGTATACAGAACATGGCGCCGTAGTTGCGATACCTTGATCTGGTGATCAACTCTTAGAAACTTTGTCTACTAACACATTGATTGCATTGACAGTAACTCCCCAAAGCATGCAGCCTTACTTTAGGTTTTGTAATATTTTGCAAATTGTTCAGATTTTCATAATCATTTGTTTCTTTCCCCTTAAGACTCAATACTATCAGACTTTGTTTTTGCTGCCCCCTGCTGGCTGTTAGAAAGAAGGCTGTTTTAAGACACTTATGCATTGCCTTCAATGCCCTTCTGTCAAGTAATTATAAACTGTCAATGATCCCACTCTTTCTCCATCTTTTCCTCTCCACCCCTCTTTCCTCCTCATTACTGCACGTTAGCTTAACTACTTTCTAAAGCACACCAATTTAAAAACCCAACAGACCACTAGCTACAAGATAAGTTAATCTCATTACCATAACATCAAATATTAACGTTACACATGAAAAATTAACATAGCTAACTGTAGCTAGCCAACTACATTTTCACCTTCACTGTAAAAACTGTCAAACATTTTACAGTGAAACACTGTTAAACCAGGACAGTAAAAGGCCGTAAAATAGGTTATATCATATTATTTTGATGGTAAAAACCAAAAAAAGGGAAAATAGGGAATAAAACTCCAACTTTATCAATACAATCAACCGTACTCATATCATTTTACCGCGATAGTAGAAAAGTTCTACCATATATATTATTGTAAAGTTCTGGCAACCACAGCTGTCAATTTTTTGCCATAAAAATAATAGTCAAAAACATACTTAAGTATATTCTCTCTACTGTATAGAGCAGACATACAGTTTTTAAAAAGGGAACACAAGGAGTAGTCGTACCTTAAACCTCACTTCTAATGTAATACTGCCCACCCCTGGAATTGGGAAATGGTTGTTATTAATATACAAGGATGCATACAGGATATACTTATGCAAAACCCCAGGTATGGTTCTTTAGTAACCCTGTGGCCTTTTCTCTGGTGCCACCCTCAAGACAATCATCAGCATTTGTTTGTCAAGTACAACACTCATGTTATATTACCTTTGTAAGTGTTGCTGCTGTGATATATGTGTCATGATATACAGTATCTGTTGTTAAAAGAAGCTGCAATTGCATGTGCGTGAGTGTTGTCAGATGGATGGTGTGTGTGTCTCTCTGCTCTCTGTTTCCTCTAAAAGCCAACTGATAAGGAGACGTTTTTTAAAGCACATTTGTTTTCTGTGGAGGGAAAATCGGCCATTAATGCAGATTTATGCAGATTGGCTGGATGGAAGTCGTTTGGGCGAAAAGAGCCGCTGAGAGTCGAGGAGTGATTACTAATGGGTTTTTATAGCTGGACCAGAGAGAGAGGGCAGCGGCCAGCCAGTGTGTGTAGTGTGTGTGTGTGTGTGTGTGTGTGTGTGTGTGTGTGTGTGTGTGTGTGTGTGTGTGTCTCCTTGGCTGCTTTCGAGCTGTTGAAACAACCATTTTAAATCTTTGCAGAAATCTCAGACTGTTCAGTTTGTTTCCTGCTGCTGTGACTGTTGTTGCTGCTTCCTGTTAATTTATTTATGTTGGTTTTATGGCCGGGTTGGTTTCTTCCATTCTCTTTCATTTCTGCCTTTCTCTCTTGGAAACATGGTGCAGAAGGTGGCAGTGACACACTAATGCTGCCTCTACACTGCAGAAATAAAACAAGAAACCGGTCGAACGCCATTATTTTGTTGTTAAAATATTTCCATCCGTTTTCAGGGTAGAAGTGTTCAGAGCCTATACTAAAGTTAAAGTTGCAGTTCCACAGTGCTGAAATATTGCTTGTAAAAGTTAGAATTTTAGTAAAAGCACCCCCTGCTCTTTTGTTCTATCAGCAAAATACGTTCCAAAGGTACTCATGCAGGTACCAGCTTAAATATTTTAGAAAAAAAAATCTCAAAATAACAGCTGATTTTTTTTTTACATTAACACATAACATAAAACATGTTTGATAAGGATCCATTGAATTTGATTATTTAAGAATTGACCCTCCTTAGTCCCGCCCCTTTTTGCTCTGTGCTCCAATAACAGTTGAGCAAGCCTCGGTCAGGAGCTCAGTCAACTTCCTCCTGTCCTGTACTTTGATGTGCTATATGCTAGGCTCGTCGTTTTGAAGATGGTTAAAAGATTAAAGTGACATATATATATTAGTGCTGTCAGTTAAACCTCGTTATTAACGGCGTTAACGCAAACCCATTTTAACTGCGTCAATTTTTTAATCACAAGATTAACGTTCGTTTTGGCCTAGCACACTTTGTAGTTTTTTTTACCTGCTGTTGCAACAACTAGCAATGTTAGAAAAACTACAACACCACACCGGATCTAGCTAGACCGGAAACAAAACAACAGACACGCCGCACACACTTGTTTAAGAGTAGTAGACGTTACGTTTTGAGTGGACGGCGAGCGTGAGACGCCGAAATGGATGCCAATAATATTCTGAATGGAAAGTTTCCTTTTAAAAAGTTGCCAAATGGTTCCATTGACAAGACCAAAGTGATCTGTGTGTTTTGTCGTTGTGAACTGAGCTATCATCACAGCACGTCCAGCCTGAAATACCACTTGATGGCCAAACACACAGCTGATGTGAATTCTCCGACCCCTCGTCAATGCCAGGCGACAATGGATGATTTTTCAATAAAAACAACATTTGCACAAAGCAAGCCGATCCACTTTTCCATGTTGATAAGAGCATTAAAATGAGAAAAAATAATGGGACAAAAAGAAATCAAGGGACGTTTAGAAAAGATAAAAATATGTGATTAATTGCGAGTTAACTATGACGATTAAATATTTTCGTTTGACAGCACTAATATATATGTATATAGTCAAATCTTAATTTAGCTATAATTCGCTAGCTAGCTAATCTACATCAGTCGTTAACCAGCTAATTACATCTGAAAGCTAATGTTAGCAAAATGAAAACTAGCTAGCTAATTAACATCAATTGTTACATAGCTAGTTAGCTAGTGATTTAAATTTTACTGTCCTTACAAGAGCGCACTAAAATCAGGATGGCTTGATATATATATGTCTATATATGTGTGTATATATGTATGTATACCAGTGTATGTATATATAGTTATCGTCTGACTAGCATAGCTGTAGACTCTTAGTCTTGTTTTTAATTTTTCTGTTTAGGTGAGAGTTTTTTTCAAATGTATTAATAATTTGTTTTTTCAGTCTGAAGTGGAATTTGACAAAACAACTCAAACACAAACACAGACATGCACAGCTTGGTCACAAATATCCCTCCATCAGTAAACACTTCACCTTAATAACAATGTCACATTGTGCAATGGGTTTGTTGTGCAGTGCTCCGCATTACACTCTGTGCCTCAGTACAAAAGGACAAATAAAGTATTCAGTCCTAAAACCACCACCTTTCTCCATCACTCTTTTGTTTAATCCTTAAGTTTTGGCCTTTCATAAAGGAACTGATATCCACCTTCTCATCTGACTCTGGGGAAGACAAAGAAGAAGAGGATTTTATTTAATGTTGGACTGTTCCTTTAAATGTGCAGACTGGTGTGTTTATCTGATCAAGACTAAAGATTCACACTGCTGACTGAGAAAAGACTGGACCATTTGATACACACACAAACACCCTAGCTTGTGTGTGTGTGTGTGTGTGTGTGTGTGTGTGTGTGTGTGTGTGTGTGTGTGTGTGATTATTAGCTGTATATCTTGTAATTTCCAGAGGAGCTGATTCAGACTCCTGCAGCATTTTTCAGCTGCTGGTAATTAGTGACTGTTGAAACACAGGGAATTATCTGCTTCAAAGTCATTCACAAGGCTGATAACTGCTGAGTGTGTGTGTGTATGTGTGCTGTCAGTCAGCTGAATTGCTCCGATTAAACAGCAGATTATCAGGATTTTCTAATTATTAGGGAGTAATTAAGCCTGAGCCGAGGATTATCAGACTGTAACATGAAAATACTAAAACACTGAAGGAAGAAAACCTTCAGATACAGACACACTAATACGCTGAAACAGCAAAACAATGAAACACTAAAAGAGAGAAACAGAGTCGTTCTCCTATTGTAAGACTGAGGGATTCACAATGGCACAATGAGGGATTCAAAATGTATAGAAGGGATTCTAATTGTAAATAGAGGTGTTAAAATAGCACAATGAAGGATTCAAAATGGCACAATGAAGGATTCAAAATGGCACATGGAACAAGTCAAAATAAAACAAGAGATGGAAAGATGGGGAATTTAAAATGGCAAAATACGAACTTAAAATTAAATGAGGGATTCAAAATGTAAAGACATTGAAGGAGGGGGACTTAATTGGCTCGATAAAGGAATCAAAATGGAAATGAGGACAATGAAGGATTCAAAATGGAAACAAATGGGGAGGACCAAAAGCAAGGCTAAAAATGGCACAATGATGGATTGAAGATGGCACAATGTGGCGTTCAAATCGACATGATTCAAATTACATAACATTTAAAATGTAAGGATTGAAAATGGCACAATGATGGATTCAAAATGGCACAACAAAGGATTCAAGGGAAAAGGGTGGAGGGTTTGAAAATGCCACATTGCAGGGTTGAAATTGTAAGAAAGAGGGATTCAGAATGACACAATAATGTATTAAAATGGCCCAAAGAACATTAGTAAAAATCTCAGTGGACTGCTGGAAAACCGGGATTTCCCAGCAGTCTGGAGGAAACCTTGATTGTTTTTTTTTTTTTTCATCATGGCAGCATTTGTTCTAAATAGTCCGAATGGGCTGTGCAGCTGAGAGGAGGACGCAGCAGGAGGAGAACATGATAATGTTTGATATCGCTCCTGCTCTCCTGCTGTGCAAACGCTTCACTTTGGTCTTTTATGTATGATGTATAATTAAAATGTTTTCTGTGCAGGCAAAAGGCCTCCGCAGACGAGCGGCCCTAATTGTAGCCACGCCTCCCTCTTTAAAGCGGTGGGAGGGAGGAGGTGTCGAGGGGTTAATGGGGAAGCTAATGATTAGCATGGAGGCTGGTGTTTATTGTTCCGCAGGAGGTGGATGAAGACAGTTTGTTCTGCAGAGTGTTTCATTAAGTGGGTTTTATTAAGACAAGCTTAGTCAATTTGGGTTTAATAGAAGAATGAGGCTGGAGGGGGGGTTTGTTCAGAGGTCTTTGCAGGGAGCCTCATAATTATATTCACACTTTATCTGTTAGCTCAGGACATAGTGTACACCTGGGTGCTCATTAACACACACATGTTGGTACTTCTATACTTGGGAGGGTCCAGGGCCAAATTGAACACAATATTAAGTTAACGACATAGCACACGTTGTCACTCACGCTGTTGAATGGCAAGGGTGTTTGCTAGCCAACTTGACATGCATGATTTGCGGTTGGCATTAAATTACTAGATTTACCTGAAGAGGAAAGGCTGATGTCATCATCAACATCTGTGATGTCCACCACCACACTGGCAGGGCTGGGAGTCTCTTCAATTTGTCCAGCGAGGCCGACACTGGCTGCGGCTGCTGAAGTGCTTGGCCTTGCGTCACGTAGGTTATCAAACACGGTGCATTGTTCGGCTTTAAATAAACTCCATGTGTCGCCAGATGTTTCATCAAATTCGGCAGCAGCCAAGGGTTCGGCCTGTGGCCCTTTGCTGCGTGTCACACCCTCTCTCTCTTACCCTTTTATTTGTTCATGTTAAATTATTTTTTGTTTTTATTCAACCAAACTCCATTTCTCAGATTGCCAGTTTTGTTTCAGTTAACATTATGATCAAAACACAACATAGAAGTTCATAATTGACCTTGGAAACAGTAGTTTCTTAAACAATCTAAACTCTGTGTCCACTTATTCGCTTTATCTGGAGCCATCAATTATAGCTTTTTGTTCCCTCTGCTCCCCTGTTCAAAGGCGCTTGGGGCCACTCCAATATAGCTGCTTAGACAGTCAGCAGAGGCACAAATAGAGTGAATATGAGGTTGATAAAGTTGGCTCCTGCGTTCACTGTGGCAGCCAACTACTAAACTGTTATCAGTGACAGTAACTCTTTATTTCTCTCTGTCTCCCTCCAGAGTCCCTCTGTTCACCAGCCTCAGGTTTATCATCATCTTCATCTTAATCCAGACAACAAACCAAAAAGTGGACCACCCACAGACCGAAGACTCATCAGGCGATTGCTTCGACGTTCCTGTTAAGGCAACATCACGCTGGACATCTATCAGCATCTGGAAATTTTCCAGAGTAACAGCAGCGACCACAGCAATAATGACATCAGCAATGACAAAAACACCAGCAACAACTACAATATGACAACAAAGAACTGCAGCAGCAATGGTTGCAGCAACAGAAAACTGCAACATAGGAACATATGGGGAGCAACAGCTGCAATAAGTTGAGTGTCTATCAGCTTAAAGCAACAACCGAAGCCTTTAATCCTTTTTGTGATTTATCATCTGTACAAACTTTACAACAAGCGCTTATCTTCTTTCACTTTTCAAATTGTGATTCTTTTTAATATAAAAGTAATTAAAAAAAAAAATACTGAAGAGCAACGCCCTCATCGAACCCAAAGTCAGGTTGCAAACTGCTGGACGGCTTTTGCTTACTCTACTCACTCTTAATAAGCTCTTTAATGATTTTGATTGTTTGTGTTGTCAGATTGTCGTCTGTTTTAGAGACGTCTTCAGGGGTTTTTAAATAAATAATGAGAATTTACATGAATATGAAATAGAACAATTGCTTATTTAAGACAAATTTTATACCTTAAGAGAACATAAGTGTACATTTCTTGGACTGGAGTAAATAAATAATTATATTCACATTCGTTTATTGGTGCTTTTTAAAAAGAAATCTGCTTACGAATGACTGTCAATCAATATTCTACACACTGCTGACTTTTCATTTTGCTGGTCATCTCTATTAGTTGGGGTCAGTTGCCTCCTGGGCTCATCTGTAACATTAGCTAGCTCTCCTAGCGCCACTGAAATAGCTAATGTTCAGCCACAGTTTGCGAGTGTGGTTCAGTAGAAAGAAAATAGTTCCTACACGAATCTACTCACAACAAGGTCTGTGGATTATTTTGATTATCCTGGTTTTGATTTCTGGAAAGAGACATTGCTGTTAAGTTTCTCAAATGCATTTTGGTGCTTTGAGCACCCCAGGCGGAGTGCCGTCTGGTTCCATTATATTGGAGATAAGGCAGACATCTCTACAGCCGATATCTCCAAAACTTAGCAACTCACACCAAAACTATCTAGATGAATTAATATGGAGAGAGATAGGTTCCATATTATTCGTATATGCAAACACCGTAATCCACACGTATGATATAATTTGCAAGCACAAAGTCAAAATTCGTGACTTGTAAATTGGTATTTGCACAAAGGTGTAATGATTTACTCAAATGTTTGGAAACTGGCAAATTAAATCATACCAATTTGTAAAAATATATCACGTTTCACGTGTGCATCTGTCATGAAATTTCATTTGCGACTCTTACGTTCCGTGTGTGAAGTGATGAATCTGCGTTTGCAGATCATCCAACATGCACATTCATCCCTGCTTCCGCTTACGTAATATGGAGACATTCCTTTCTCCTTTTTCCAACCCGATCCATACGCGAAGGTCTTAACCCATGCAAGAGTCCACCCCGCTCCCCCAAAAATATTCCAGTAGGTGGCGGTGTTGATACTGCTTTACCGATGTACATTTGTTCCCCACTCTATGAAATCCAACAATACAGCTGAAATAAATGCATGGGTGAGCCGAACGTTGTTTTATGATTGATATACATTCTCAAACGTCTAGATTAACATCAAGCCAATTCAATTACTAATTTTTATGACTAATTTCTACTGACCGATAGCATAGGTCTTGGCATGAGAATCAATGGAAATTGGTGAAAACAGATCAGGTCATTGTAATATTGAAGTAAATTAAGGTTTCTGTCCCTGCTAGCTTAAAACAGAGTCTCATGCCATATCCCAGATTTGACAACGTGTTTTGAATTTGGACACATCAGTATTTTATGGATGTTGAATTACCTTGGCCTGCAGGCAATGTTTGTGTCGTTATGTTGCATTTGGCTTCACCAAAATTATCATTTGCAGCTTGCTAGCAGGCTAGTCGACTTAGCTTACAGTGTACACAAACTGACTGTAGAAGCAGAAGCAGAAGCATAATCTTGGTCTCAAATGAAAGTTAACACTCTGAAGTTTCATGCTTGTATGCTTGTGAATTGTACTTCAGGGGTTCTGATATGGAATGACTACACTAAATATGGAATAATTACAAAAAAATTGGTGTGTATAAGATGGACTATACATCTGCACAACTAATATTGGATAAAATAACATGATTATTCAATTTCTATGGATTCCTGTGAATATTTCAATTCAATTCAATTCAGTTTTATTTGTATAGCGCCAATTCATAACAGAAGTTATCTCAGGACACTTTTCAAATAGAGCAGGTCTAGACCGAACTCTTTAAAACATTATTTACAGAGACCCAACAGTACCACCATGAGCAAGCACTTGGCAACAAGGGCAAGGAAAAACTGCCTGTTAAAAGGCAGAAACCTAGGACAGACCCTTCAGCTCTAGGTGGGTGGTCGTCTGCCTCGACCAGTTGGGGTGAGAGAGAGAGAGAGAGAGAGCGAGAGAAAGACAGACAGACAGGTGCACAGCAACAACAGTATTGGCAATGGCAATCTAGCAGGACCATGGCAGGAGGCTCCACCAGGATCGACAAGAACCTGCAAGACGAGAAAGCACAAGAACTCCGTGGAAGAAGTGAAATTAGTAACATGCATAAATGGAACATGAATGAGTGCAGGAAGAGAGGAGCTCAGTTATATGGAATGACTACACTAAATATGGAATAAATACACAAAAATTGGTGTGTATAAGATGGACTATACATCTGCACAACTAATATTGGATAAAATAACATGATTATTCAATTTCTATGGATTCCTGTGAATATTTCAAGACCCTAGATATAGGGTCTATATATATATATATATATAGACCCTATATCTAACATATTGCTAAGGATATACACTCCAGCTAGAAGGTAGGGAAGCACCAAAGGCGGAGGAGGGGATTTTTGGTTAAATTTAATTGAGATATAGATAAATTAATCTGACAATGTAAAGCACTACACATATTTTACATGAAAAAGATTGTCATGTATTGATTCCCAATAGTCCAAGCCTTCAAATGATGTATAATATGACTATGCTACAACAATTTGATGTATAAAATTGATTTAGAATGTTCAATCCAATCCAACTTTATTTGTTAAGCACTTTAAAAACAACCAAAGTTGACCAAAGTGCTGTACAGGAGAATAAATAAGACATCATAACGTTACATGTAAACAGTGATGGTGATGATGAAGACCACTGTGAGGAACATAGACAGTGATGGTGACAACACTGGAAAGTTCCCGTGGCAGATAACACGGACGAAGTCCGACGGTGATGAGCTCGATGTCCGGGCTGCAGACGCTCTGGCGTTACACCACCTGATGTTTATGAGCACGGACAGTCCCCCTCCTTTCTTCTTGCCGGTCGCGGTGGTGTCCCTGTCGGCTCGAACCGTCTGGAAGCTGGGAATGGTGACGTTGGAGTCCGGTATCTGCTCGTGTAGCCACGTTTGTAGGGTTTAAAGCTCCTCTTCTTCATCCTCCGTTTAACCCCCGCTCTGCAGCCTCACCGTCTCCTCAGCTCCTCCGGTATGGAGGCTCTCTCTCCGGTCAGGATGCTGGGGTACCTCAGGGCGATCATCTGGTCGCGGGTGTAAACAATGCAACTCGCCGTCGCCATGGAGACCCGTGCAAACAAATGGGTGGAATGGAGTCGTGTTAAGGCAGCAATGCATTGTGAGGACAGTCTAGGGACACTCTCAAGAATGACCCAAATGGGGTGTGTTGTAAGGAGAACTTACTCAGTTCCCTGCCCCATGTACCTTGTGCATGTAGACACCAACCATAAACTCATCAGGTAACCCATGTAGCACCCAATACATCTTATTCGGTTATTATTATTAGATTATGTCGGTTTCGAGCCGACAGGGACACCACCGCGACCAGCAAGAAGAAAGGAGGGGGACTGTCCGTGCTCATCAACAACAGGTGGTGTAACGCCGGGTACATTTGTGTGAAAGAGCGTCTGCAGCCCGGACATCGAGCTCATCACCGTCGGACTTCGTCCATGTTATCTGCCACGGGAACTTTCCAGTGTTGTCACCATCACTGTCTATGTTCCTCACAGTGGTCTTCATCATCACCATCACTGTTTACATTTATGATGTCCTATTTATTCTCCTGTACAGCACTTTGGTCAACTTTGGTTGTTTTTGGTTGTCTGGTTGTCAATGGACTCGACACATTCCATGAGATCACTTTTTAGGCCAGAGTAGCTAGAGTAGTGATCTGGAATCCGTATGCGCTCATAACAAGTGCTAGCAGTTGGTAGGTGGTTTCGTCCCCTGGACTTCACAATCTCCATGATGTACCTGTTTGGTGGTACCTCCCAGCCAGTCCAGAACTTCCCAAGCTTGGACAAAATTCCTGGGGATGCTAAGAAAAAAAGAAGTTTATTTTATTGTGTGTGTGTGTGTGTGTGTGTGTGTGTGTGTGTGTGTGTGTGCGCACATGCATAGATAATATACATACAATCACTGGGATTTACAGTATTAAAGTTTGGGATCTGTGGCCTCTTCCACCCAACGAAAGAACCATTCGGAACCATGCTGGTTCGCAGAAAGTGTAGATCTACACACCGGTGCTTGTTCTTGTTTTCAAAACCTAAAACTAAATTACTTATAACTACAGTGTCAACATAATATTGTGAATACTTTTAAAACATTTAAAAAGATAAAATTTAAAAAGATCAAAAAGCATGCAAAGATATTCTACTTAAACCAATTTTGTGTGTTTCCATGGTAAAGGGGTGCAATGTCATCACAGTTATCACAAACATTTGAACTGCACTATATGCTGAAATAACGTACCATCTTCAACAAACCCTGTGATAGCACTGATGGTGCCAGTTGGAATGCTGTCATCGGAGTCATCACTGTCATAGGCTTCTTTGGACTGGGGCCATCTGATGGATTGAAGAATGGCCTGAGAGTATAAAAAAACCCACATTATTGCATGTACAATTTTCATATAAGTGCTAACCCAATTGCATAAAAGGTACTTGTGGGGTAAGCTGGACATCAGCCTCCCGTGGAAAGAAAAAGGGAGCAACATTCAGTCGAGAGGCTAATAGTGGCCAAACACCTGTTTCCTTCAATCCCTTTCTGAACTGTTTAATCTGGGCATGTGCTCTGCCAAGTACCGGTGAAAATATAAGGTATAAAGTGTAAAAAATATAAAGTATTGGTGGAAATGTAATGAGGTGCCTGGACAGCTTGATTTTATGATTAGATTTATTGCCAGACTTTTAAACGTAAAAAGGTACAGGAACTTGAGGCTTGGCTGGTAATATATTCTGCAATGGGACAGTGACCCAAAGCAGTTAAGCTAAACAGATAAACAAGTCTAGTCAAATAATTTATTGGTCAAGTCAAAGTTTGGACCTTTTTGGCAACAGAAGCAAGGAAAATCAGGTGTCCCTTAAAGTGTTCACAAGATTTTGTATGTCAGATGTTTAGCTTTTGTGAAGCAATCTATATCTGTTTAAAATATTATATCTTATTGTGTGCTGGTTATTGGAAAGGTCAGCTTTAGAAATTGGGGGTCTATGTAAATCTGATGCATTTTTAATTCCTTTAACCATAAAAAATTACCTTGTCAGGAGGGCTCA